GCCAAATTCCATCAAAAAGAAAATGATTGGGTTCCAAACACTTTGCGACCATCTTGGCTAAAAAGATTCGCTCGCTAAGGCCGTGCCTCAGCTTGCAATTCGGATGGCATGTGAAACAAGTCAATTTAGATTCGCTATCTGGAAAACCATGCTGAGCTGTATGTTGCTGTATAATGGTCTTAAATTCTGTCACACAATTATGGCTTGCGTTGTCATCCGATGTAATTCTGAAGCACGTTTCACCTTCCATGCATCACACCTTGCTGCCACACTGGCTTTACCTTCCTTTTCCGGTCGACTCAAAACTTCTCTGAAACAATTGACTGGCCACAAACCCTGGAAGTCAATAGGATTCGGTTCTGCACGAGTTCATGTGATAAATTCAGTATCGCCGACTGGGTAGTTTGGAAGTTTCACATCTCACTTTCAGGAATAAACGGAGCCAGAGTCACCAAAACAAACTATATAGACATTTCTGGAGACAGTTCGTGCATCTTTCTGCCGTTGTGTTCCTGAAATAGAATGGTAAACATCTTTCATGTCCAAACGATCACTCTAGACTGCAAGGCCCCAACTCCGTCATCGGCAGTCCTCCAATGTTTGGGAACTGTGCCAATGAGTCAATGCAAGAAGAAAACTGCTGGGACCTATATTCGTTTCAAGAAGTTTGACTTGCAGTCTTCCATACGCCATAGCCCATAGCTGCTTGAAACAAAAGTAACATGCCATCTCAATCTCACAAAAGACGTTTAAAATCGTTTAAATATATTTAAATCATTTGGGAACCGAATAAACACTACTGTATATCTAGGAAAGAAAAGAAGACGGAAGCGGTACTCAGGTGCACCTTCGGCCTGCAAAGTTCTCTCAAATTGCCTGGACCTACCTCATGAGGAATTATTTGCATGTCCATAGAATCAACTGTCAACTCTCCCTGGAGTCGTGATCAGATGCAGGCAGTGCAGGTCAACATGGTCAATGCCACTCCTTGAGCTTCCTTTAGGCAACGCCGGTCAATGTTGCGAAGGCGATCGGTCTCTGCTAGATCTGTTCCTTGCTTCTGCAAGGACTTTGTCAGCAGAATCATGATTGAGCTCACTGAATCTCACTGAAATGTGGCATGACATGTGACTCTTTTTGCTGTTCTCATCTGTTCTCCATTCTTTCTCGCAACTGCATACAACTGCTACCTCACAATGCCGGGCCGGATTCTTCTAACGTAGTAGACTTCCAAACATGGAGCCCAAATTGACTGGGGTGCTACGATGGTACTTCAAGAAGGAAAGTCCACAAAAGATGGATCTCAATGGATCTGAATGGCCACTTAGGCGTCTGGCTTTTCCAAATCAGACCGCCAAAGACGTAGGCAGTGTCCAGCTCTTCCACATAGACCATGGTGTGAAATGCCCTCAACCGAAGACCGACGGGGTGAATTAGAATAGATGCAAGGCAGGTGCCATGTTGAGAGATGTTGAATCCGACAGCGGCATGGACAACTGTTCCAGAAGACCATTCCTAAAATCTTTTGGTGGGCAGCTACGACAACTACCAGAAACCCAAAGGCATGTCGCACAGATCCCCCCCATCTGAGCTTGCGACACCGCCGGAGGCTTCACACCAGGGAAGAATTTGTCCTGATGAAGTTATGTGAAGTTCTATGCAGAAGGTGAATCAGGGACTATCAGGGAATACTGTGGCATATTGAAAGTGATCTACTGCTTGAGGCCCATCACATGATACCATATTGCGAAACAAAGGAGCCATCAAGTGGTCTGCCATGTCTTTCTAGGTAGGATTTCCCTTGTCATACCCTCTTCAACTTCTGGCCCTCACTGTGCATGTGAAAGGCGGGTATTGGGTTGGGTGGGGATTGAAATAACAGATAGTCGCGAATCACGGACTCTTGAGTAGACAAGTAGACCTCCTTGTCCGTGCCGGCCCATTGTGGTGGATTGTGGATGTATCTTTTCTTGTGCCTTCCTTCTTCTACCGGGTTGGATGGTCTATCTCCCATACGAAATGGAGTGTCCATCGTAGGTGAAGTCACAAGCTGCCCTGCATCAGCAAGTCTCGGAAGCTGACAAGCAGCTTCAGAGTATGACCAAACTACGACAACACCTTAGTGTCTAGCTAAGTCGAGCTTTGATTGCAAGTCCTGGGAGCCCGGGCAATTTGTGTCCAGCTCCTTTCAACACCTTAGACAAATGCTGCGCGGCAATTTGTCATGCAGTCACGACGAGGTCAGCGTGCATGAACAGAATTCAAGTCTGCTTCCCTTGCCACCCTCTCACTTCAAATGCTGAATTGTTCAATCTTATACAAGTCTAACAGCAATGTGTTTTAGTGTGTTTTGTACATGTGCTCCCAATGTGTTCCCGTTCTTCCTTTCAACTTCTTCGGTCTAGAGTCTAGAGCTCTGTTCCCTGAATTTAGTCTACAATGTCAATATATATATATATATGTATGTGTGTATGTATGTGTGTATGTGTGTATGTGTGTATGTGTGTATGTATGTATGTATGTATGTATGTATGTATGTATGTATGTATGTATGTATGTATGTATGTATGTATGTATGTATGTATGTATGTATGTATGTATGTATGTATGTATGTATGTATGTATGTATGTATGTATGTATGTATGTATGTATGTATGTATGTATGTATGTATGTATGTATGTATATGCATGTATGTATGTATGTATGTATGTATGTATGTATGTATGTATGTATGTATATGTATGTATGTGTATATATATATATGTGTGTATGTATGTATGTATATGTATGTATGTGTATATATATATATGTCTATATATATATATGTATATATATATGTGTATGTATATGTATATATGTGTGTATATGTGTATGTATATGTATATGTATATATGTCTATATATATATGTCTATATATATATGTATATATATATATGTATGTATATGTATATATGTGTGTATATGTGTATGTATATGTATATGTATATATATATGTATATATATGTTTATATATATATATATGTATATATATATGTATATATGTGTGTATATTTATTGGTTTATTCGTTTATTCATTTATTCGTTTATTTATTTGATTGATTAATGTATTGACTTATTTATTTATTTATCTGTGCGTGTGCATATGTATGTATATATATATTGCATATATACATATATGATGTCAGGGCCGCCAAAAGATCGGGCAGAGTCTGAGATGATGGCCAGGTCGCTTGACATTCAAAATCCAAAGATCGTTTAGGGGCTGATCCTTGCAGGGCTGATCATTTGATTGTCTTTCGAATTTCCTCCTTGTGTATTGATTGAAACAAAACAAAATGAAGAATGCAAAGCAAAGGCAGTGGAATTCCAGAAAGAACAGTTTACAGAATGTATCAGCGCAGCTGGCTCAGCCTGCTCATTCCCACCAAAGAGGACCACTTGGGTATCATTAGTCTTGGCATTTCGAGCCTCAGCCGAGAGAAGTGGATGCATTCTTTGTATCAGTCTACGGAACATCAAAGAGGGCCAGCAGGCTAGCTCATATATACAAGCATGAACCAGTCGCCATTTTAGTATCCAAATCATCTCTACATGTGGATCATTGATGATCATTGATTGATCATTGATGATCATTGATTGATCATTGGTTGATCATTGATTGATCATTGATCATTTGTGCGATCCAGACATTTTGGGTGCCCAGGCTATCATGGCATGTCCCTTTCGGGATGGTGGCAAGCTGCCGAAGATCTGCAAGGCCGACCTAAGGACTAAGGACACTGACGGCGACATTACAACGAGAGTACCTGGAGATTGGTGCATGTCCAAACAAATGGCTCAAATCGACGTATCAGGCAGAGAAATTCCGGTGAAATCGGCATTGAACGTCACATCTAGCACAGATTGTAGCTGAGTCATTTCCCTTGCGCAAGATTGAGGGAAAATAGTTTTGAAGCAAATCCTGCTTGCTGCAGTTGCCAGCAGCCGACATTGGTTCGTGAGACTTGCAATCATTGCTTCGCTGTCTGTATTCCGATATATTCCGATGAAGATTCTGAGTTCCCAGCCATTGATTCACGGTGGTGTCATAGTACCAAAGATCATCAAAGTAATACTTTGGTGAACACGTGGGCGTCGGACCCTGACCTGATTTGAACTCACAGGGAGGCCATGACAGACTTTAAGGAAACACAATTGCGCTAGTGTTCTTTGACACACAGATTTTTGTCCCGGCTTCCTAGCGACAATTCCGACCTGAATCCAATGTGAATTCCCAGCTCTGCAAACATGGCAACGATGCCACAATCTATTCTGCAAAGCTGGGTGCGACTGTGCTGTGCTCTTGGCAGATTGAGCCCCAAGCGAAGGACAACTGAGCTTGTCGAGTCTGACCCGGTGATGCCGACAGAGACCTGTCGCGTCGTGGTGCACCCGCTGACATATAAGAAATCATAAGAAGCCTTGGCTAGGTCATCACATACATTGGTTTTGAAAGGAACCAATGTATTCTTCTACAAGGGATCCACAGATACCCTATATCTGGATGACTTGAAACTGGAAGTGTTGCAGCTTTGGAACCACATACAATCTTTCAAGGCTGGGTTGGAGCTACAGAATGTCACAACCGTTGGATGTCCGTTCTTTCAACAAGTCCTTCAAAGCTCAACAAGCTTTCTCAGAGAGCAAAGCAGTTCCACAGACTTGAAAAATGTTCCTTGTCTAGTCATCTTGATCTTTTTCCAAGATTCTTCAGGAAGGAATGTGTTTCTGTTGCTCTTTGTTTGAGTTGCAGCTCCAGTTCGGTAACCCAAAATACCATGTCTGATCTGATCATAAACAACAACAGTGATCATCATATACAGTACCTATTCAAATGGCCAGAAAATATGGGGTCTACCCATTTTGGGACAAACCTATGGTGACCCGCCGCGTATGCCCTGAATCTGAAGTCCCCAAGACATGTCAGATGCACGTTGTTGGTACTAGCGGTGTAAGTTCCACGGACAACCGGAGGATTGGTGCCAGGTCCAGGTGGTGGAGATGGGCTTCCGGCACCGGCACCGGCATCACCCGCACCAGTTGAGGTGGCGGTTCCTGTGCCTGTCACTGTGGTCGTGGCCAAGGTGGTTTCTGTTGTAGTGCTGATGGTCATGGTGGTGGTGATGGTGTTGCCCAAGTCCAGGATAATCTGCTCAGAGGTGGTGATGGTCGTTGTAATCAAACCTGCCGCGGAGAAATGCGGCCCTATGAAACTTCCAGAAGTTTGCAGGTGGTAGAACAGAAGTTGTCGCGTCTTCAATGTATCTTCTCATCATGATCGACCTAAATCCAGATGGACCACATGGAGGAGGCAAGGTAAAGAAACGATCTCTTCATGTCTTAATGGCCTATAGATGTCTCAGGATTCTGGTCGTTCCCCAGGGTGTCAAAGGAGCCAATGACTTGGACTCCTCCGCAGCCGGACGCAGCTGCACAGCTCGACACGACTCCTGTGTTCCTACAAGGATCCCAGGGCCGCACTTCACAGCTGGGTTGCCCAAGAAGATGGGATAGTTATATACAAAACATATATGTGGTAGTATACGTACATACATAACATACCATGCCACACCATGCCATGCCATACCATACCATACACAACCATACACAACCATACACAACGATACACACCCATACACAACGATACATAACCATAACTAACGATACAATGTATACATAATCATACATACATACATAACCATACATACATACATAGCCATACAATCATAATCATACAATCATAATCATACATACATAACCATACATACATACATGCATGCATACATACATTACATTACATTACATTACACTACACTACACTACACTACACTACATTACATACATACATTACATACATACATATGTATATATACGTATATTATTACAATAAAATATTATACACATTATATAATTATATATGCGTATGTTTTACACATGTACATAAATGAAATTATACAGTACTTCATTCTAACATGGATGAGTGACAATTGAGCACAGCGCCAATTGTCGCGGTCCATTGACAGTCTTCTAAAATATGTGGATTGATGGAAAATGCATGAAAATGCACTCTCCACAGCTACACTTCTTTCATAGTGTAGCCAAGGCATACCACTGCCAAGTTGGCTTTGGATATCATGATTGAGGCCCTTACCCCCTTCCAACAACGTCGTCGTTTCGGGACCCGACCTGAAGAGAAAAGGAAAAACATCGAGAAAGGCCAAATACCCGTCCCCAGCCCAAGATGAGAAAGGCATTCCAAAAGGGCATCCACAGTGGTCAGGAAGGGCATCCACAGTGGTCAGGAATAAGTCTCCCACGGCACAGGAGTGGTGTCTGGCGGGTCCGTCAAAGTGATCACCTTCGAAAGTCTCCAAAGAATGTCAATTTGTGAGAGCAGACACTGTTTCACGAAAGTTAGCAGGTATCTCAGCGCGTGGCCTGGTCCGCCGCTGTGGATGTGGTTGTCGTTGTTGTTGTGGTGGTTGCACTCTCCTACCAAAAAATGTTCCATCGAGCAGAAAATGCCAATGTTGTCAAAGGTCTTCGAATGTCCAACTGCTTGTCGTAGATTGAGTAGAAATTAGTAGAAGATATGAGAAGGACATCGTTTCAAACGCTTTGCACACTTTTTGCAACCAAGAAGTTTCTGTTGGTTTCATTCACCAAACCACCCGCTCCAGGCATTCGGCAGGGGTCTTGGCATAATATCCCCAAGTAGTGCGGAATCCACCGAAGACCTGAGAAGCCGTTTGGAACACTTTTTTTCCCACACAGTGTCCCCAGACTGAGTTCTTGCGGTAGGGGTTAAAGGCCGGGGTTAGATCAGGGTACACGCTCTGATCCTCGGCATTTCTCCTGTAATTCTCGCATAAGCTTGCTCTTGTGAGATGTCCATGGTGTGCATTTCGACCGCGCAGGCTCGCACAAAGTCTGTGCCGCGGGGTTTTCGAGCTCTTGGGGAGCGTTTCCTGCAAATTCTCGCAAAAAAATTGCTCTTGTGAGATGTCCATGTGCATTTCGACTGTGCAGGCTCGCACAATGTAGTTGTCGCGGTTGTCGCGCTCCAGGGGCGCAGCATTGGGGTTACGCGCTCGGCCACTGCTTTGCATCAATCCTTATACGCGAGTGAAAATACGTGTTGCGCTTCTCCGCTGTGTGACCTGCATGTCTACTGTTTCCTTACCACATTACCATCCGATCCCCTTCCCCACACTGTTTGGGGTCTCTTGCCGGTGTAATGGAAGATGCATGAACTCTTTCAGTTCTCTACTGCTGAAGCCTCAAGGCCCTCACTGCAAGCACATCATCCACAGCTCCCGGGGTCTCATCATGGTAGCTGACGATGCTATGGTCTGCACGCTCAGTGGGCATGTGAGCCCCTTCCTGACCCAGGCGAGTCGGAGCACCCAGGACACTGATGCTGCATCACATGTGCAGGACGGAAACATACAGTCCTCTCGACGGCCCAGGACCAGCCCACATGTTGGACACACCTGCCAAAGGGATGGAAGGAGGAAGTCATCTCGTTCAAGCAAACTAAATTAACTAAATGAACTTGTGAGTCAATCAGAACAGTCTGAGGAGTTGACTACAAATAAATAGCAAAAACAAAAACTCATGGGAAAACACAGATTTTCACTCATCCACTCACCAGGGACACATGGAGGCACGTTGGGCATAAACGCTGGCATGTGCCAACAGTTTCATGGGCATCTGGATGCGACCAAAATCTTTTTACAAAAGCAAACCCTGCAAAGCGCCATCAGTACAAGGTGTTTGCCCACCCAATGTTGCGCCTTGCAATGTGCAAATTTCCCTGTGAAAGACCACGCAAGGTCACAATCAACGTCTGTCTCCTTCCACAAAGTGGAGATGAATCCAACGATGATGCGTCAGCCCTTCCAATTCCAATAAAGTTCTAGGAACCAAAGGGCTAGCGGATCAATACCTTCAGCAAGATTCACCATCGACACAACTCAATCGTCAAGGCAGGCATCTATCGCCTGCAATGCTGCAAACATGCAACGTTGTGCAAATACTCTGTTCCCCAGTTCCCCACAACTCCTCTTCATACGACTGAACTGGTGCATCTGTTGCAGCAGGAGTCTCGGATGGTCCAAAAAAGGGGAGGATGCCAAACAATTGACCGGAATAGAGCTGGTCTGATCTGATCAGAGATGATCTGATCAGTTTGATTCTTGGCAAAGCAGCTCTAAGAGTCACACTCCAAAGTAGTCATACATCAGCCGAGTCAACGATACTCGGCCATATGGCCTCATGTCCTGCAAACAACTTCAGTGAAAATGGAAAATATCACATGTTTGAATGCAGCCTTCCTGATAGGACGTACCAACATACTAATCTTTCTGTGCTTCTGTTCTTTTTTTCAAACCCGCTCTATCCATAGTGGTGCTCATCAAGTCTTCTCTGCGTTCAGTCCTCCCACAGATCTGTGGAAATCCGATAGCGCAGTAACGTGTTGTCAAAGCCTCCGAGAGTTTGTCCACCGTAGACATAAATGTACTCCATGCTGGAGGTACTGACCTCAGCACAAGCAGATCTGCCAATGCTTTTTCCCATGGTTTCGTTGCATTTCGTACCAGCTATGGTCTTTGCATCCTACATGGAATTCAAAACACTGAAACTATCATAAACTGTGACAAGGAAGTGATACTGAGTCAACTGAGCATATAGCCATTCCATGACCTCAGCGCGGTAGAGACTACTTGACTCTACCCAGATGTACCCAGAACTTTGTCTCACAGAACCCTCAGTGCAGATTGCCACAAATTGAGATCGTCGCGATACCTGCCTCCATAAGGATTGTCCTCAGAGAACTGAGCCCGAAGTCACTTCCACATGTACACTGGGGTATATGGTGGACATAAAAATGGATATTCTACCGGACCTTCTACATGATTCATCTGTATACACATATACATATACACATATACACATATACACATATGCACATATACACATATGCACATATACACATATACATATATACATATATACATATATACATATATCTGTCGGGGCATGGATATGTATGTATGTCTATATGTATATATGTCTATATGTCTATATGTATATATGTATAAATTAACTGTATAAATGTATAAATGTATATATATATATATTCATAGATACATAGATACATAGATACATAGATACATGTATACATATACGGATATTGATATGTACATACAAGTATAGTGTGTATATATATGGATGTGGACGTGGATATGGATATGTGAATGTGTGTGTGAATGGAAGAATCTGCGTTCATATGTGCATAAGTATGTGTATTGTGTGTATTTGTGTGTGTGAGAAATTGTGTGCAGTATACAGTACACACGTTGCATACAAAGTATGTATATATATATGTGTGTGTGATTATGTGTATATATATATACGTACATATAGTTACATATTTATACAGATACGCATTATACATTTGTGTGCATGGGTGTGTGTGTGTTTGTATGTATGTTTATTATGCAATATACTTGAATGTGCTTGACTTAGATACTAGTTCCATCTTGTCAATAATTCCTTACATCATCTTACATCTGGATTTCAGTCGATTACACCATATCCTCTAGCTGCGCCGCATCCACAACTGGCCTTCAAACGATCCCACACATTGCCTCTCACCTTGGCGTCGTCCAGGTATGTCCATTGTCCGACGACCCCAAGTCTCACCATGTACCACGCATTACCACGCTGTCTGAGAACAGCACCCAGTCTCCGGTCGGATACTTGGGATAGTAGGCCTGTCACATTTGGCAAAACACCGGTTGGCTTCCGAAAAATGTCACAAATTTGTTTCAGGTTTGAGGTATGTATCAAGCACACGCTCAAATTGTGGAAATTTATGCAACTGTGCTACTTCACATTCGATGAACACTGATTTCTCACGACACCGACATCTCAAGTTCCAGGTCTGGCGCCTGGGCTGCCCAAGGGATTTCATAGCGCCAAACGTCACTGCAAACGCTGCCTCAAAAACGGATTCGCTTGAAATGGAATGGTCCGATTTTACACATGAAAAAACATGGAAAAAACTGAAAACGTCTTAAAACTAAGGTTTCTGCCAGGGCATTGGTTGCCCATGCCTCCAAAAATGTACATGTAGAGGCGCTGGATGTCCTCAGCTCAAAAAGGCAAAAGAATTGAACTTTGGATGACGAGTGGCTCCGAGTGGCCACTACAAACATTGGGCTTCTCTGTAACAACAAAGCGAGGATAAACCTTTTGGAGCTCCTTTCAAGATCAGAAGGAACTTGCTGGGAGCAACCCAATCAATGAGACTATTCAATTCAATGATCATTTGATCTCTTTCAGCCTTTCAGCTTTGTGCAAATGATGTGTGCTTGTCTTGAAACAAGCAAGATTAGACCCAAATGCGCACAGAAGTTTAAAGCCATGCGAGATTCCGCTTCTAGCCAGAAGTGAAGCATGCACCAGCTCATGCCAGCGCATACCATTCCATATGCTTCACTAGGAGAAACACGAAAGCTTTAACACGAATGCTTTATGGCATTGTGGCATACTTGCTATCCAATCGGCTTTGTGCCCTGGGAAGCCCTGCGGAGTTTTGTTCATCGACCATTCGAATAACTGCTGCACCGTGACCAAACCTGGCACAATCTTGAGATCAGCGGGACCCTGGATGTATGAAGTTTCCAGTAGGAGGCTTGGCGGCTTGGCCATGGAGGGTCCATCCAAGCACGGACCTCTTCGGGTTTAGGTAAATCAATGCAGAAAAGGAATGAAAGTACGGAAATCCATGTGATGCTTGGTGATAGAGATATGCTTCTGTTCAAAGCTCCATCCACCCGGTGACATCCTGAACAAAGGATACAAAAGTCAGTCCAAGACTTGTACTCGTTTCTTTGAGTAGGATGAGTGCTTTGGCACTTGGCCATTGTAAAGTAAAATTGTCCACCTCCAAAGCTCCAACATGTTCGAACGCTGCACATGGAAGAGTTCCAAAGACCATCCGAAGCCCCCAGATCCCCAAATAACGTGGCCTTGCAACTGGCCAACCAACAGGCTCCAGGGTGGTCGGACTTGTGGCAGAATCTGTCTTCAAGAACCTGGGAAGACAACGTGCGACGCATTGCATACTCTCTGACTGATGTCCATGGGGTGTCGGTGGTGTGAATTCAGGCTTTCAGGATCCTACCAGATTCTTCCAACCGGTAAAAATATTGTGGGATTGAGACATTGAGACAGTGACGAATCACCTCCAAATGAATTGATCTGACTTGGTGTCCTCCTTCAAACACACAAACATAAAAATCACAAAATAATGTTTGTGACGGTCACCGTTTCTGGGAGCTGAACTCCCACTTGTTGCCTTTGATGTCGTATCGCCAGAGCTCATTCAAGGTAACTTCACTGCAAGAACGCCATTCTTCCCTATCAGAAGAGAGGTCCATCACAGCCACATCCACAGCACTCAGATTGTATACTCTTGAAGTCAGCGAGTGAAGTGCATGTGATTTTACATGCTGTTACCATCTGTCTACTGCAATGACTTGCAAAGATGCACCATACACCGAGAGAACTTGGCAAAATCCCCAACATTGGACCGGACCTCAAGTCGACTTTTGAGAGCTGCTCGCAAAAATGATAGATCAATCGGCCTGTTGCAGGATCCTGGAGCAGTGGAAGAATCCATGGACCGATCCCTTGGTAAGCAGAATCTTGAGCAATAGGCAGTGCTCTTTCAGTTTTGGCACACAAAGGTGTCTAAATCTCGAAGTATCTCACTTCCAGTGCCAGCTTGTGGCACTCAGGTAGTAGTCAAAACCCTCTTGGCAATTGTGAACATCCGGATTTCCTCGTGATCTTCATAGACAGACTGCTCTAGGGAAGTGAATGAAGTTCACGGTGAATTTCACCGAAATTTCAGAGCCATCTCAGCCATCTCCATCTCCTTGACGTGCTCGAAGCCTTTGCCCCCAAAGATCAGCATCATTGGGGCGCTGAAGGGCACCTCCAGCAGGCAACTCACAAAATGCTGAAATCACCATGGAATAAAATATGATGATCTTTGCATCGGCTGCCATTCGGTTACCCGACTTCTCTTGCAAGCTCTACGAATCTACATGTGCTTGTAGGCGATTCATTTTTGCGTGGCTGGGAAAGCAACTTTCTGTTGTGCAGAAGAATTGCGCTCCATTTCTTTCCCTCAAATGCCACGTAGGTATACCACATGCATGCGTAGTATACCTGAAGAATCTGAATAAAACTTCCTGCAACCAGGCCACTCGGTATCCAAGTGCATCGGTCACCCTCAGGCACAATCTTCGACTCATACAGCAAGTCCGTGGACAGTCCTGGTGACGTCATTGCATAGGTCAGAAGTTTCAGAGAAGAGACGTTGCAGAGAAGCAAAAAAAACAGAATCACCGTCCACAAAATCCCATGTATAGCTATATGATTGCTGGCCCATGGCGTGTCCATGAATGTGTACATATATATATATATATGTAGTCTGTGTATATTATTTATATATATAATTAGTTGTTTATCTATTTATACCACATTTGTCATTTACCTATTTCTGGTCATCACAGTGTTATATATTGTAAAATATGTTACATATAATATCGAGATAGCTATAGAAACTGCTTGCTACTTGGGCATCTGAAGGGATTGTCTCTCTGATGAGTCTTCCCGTTCAATGTGGCCGCAAACCCCACGGGGTCCACATGTGCCAGATTTCGTGGTGCAATGATGCCGCCATCGTCAGAACTGGTGCGTTTCATAATGGCAAAGAGACTCTGACTCAATGAAATGTCTGTGTTGTTCCATGACCCACTTCCACGATGAGCTACAGGCATTTCAAAGCCAGCAGAAATCGCAACATATCCATTCACAGGCTTCTCAAAAAAGGGTTTCATGAGCAGAATGCTATGTGGAGCTCGAGGACATTTCTTCCTAGAGACAAAGGTGACAAAGAAGAATGATTTCGGTAATCCAGGGCCCGGTTCACGCGAAGGTGCTAGACCGAAAGTAGAAGTTGCTGTCGAAGTAGCTGACACCACCCAGACCTAGGCACTCTCTTCCTTCTGCGTCTGCATAGTGCTAGTAAACTCAGAAAAAAATGTCTGGTGATTCCAAGAACTTTAGATTCAGAGGGTACATGATCTCGTTTCAGGTGTTAGCAAACCTGAAAGGATTGAGTGAAAGATTCTGCGACCAGCTCCATGATTGCATGTGCTAAGGAGAGTGCAAGTGAGATTTCCTAGGCAATCCTGACCTCAATGCAACCACACATAGCAGTCCACTGCACAATACAACAAAGCTCTGGCTCCTAGCTGCAGAGGATTGCAGAATCCCAAGATGGTTAGAGTGAAATATTGGAACCGTATCAATCGTGCAAATACACTCTCACAATTCAGAAGCCAAATACAGGAAGACTGATGTCATCTACTCATCTAGCCAACTCTGAAGTCACACCCCCACACTATCACAGAAGGCCCTGCCGCCACATTCAAGCCCTGGACCGCATTCGGGTCTCGCATCACACAAGTACCTCTACTTGAAAAAATATTTAGAAAAAAAAGTATCTTGCTGAGAAAAGAGCTGACTACATCGGACTACATCTTGTCCTCATTTCTTGATCAAAGTCTTTATCTGCCCCAGGGTCACTTGTGCGCATGCTGATCAAAGTTCCAAGTGTGGTACCTTGACCAAACTTGGCAATCCTCTGTACTGCTTGACAGAAATCCAACTTAAGCTATCAAGAACACACCAGAAGTTGTGTAAACTCTTCAAAACACTGTCTGAAATGGATTGATATTGCCTTGACTAACCTGAGTTTTCCTGCAGGACGGCTGTGTGAAGATACCTTGGCGACCTGGCATCATGCTTAGCGACTTGGAGTGCACGTCAATGAGCTTGATTGGCTTTGAATACAGCAGAACTGGACTTTGTCGAGACAGGTTAGTAACAGGGAGTAGAACTTGAACTCAAGCTGAAGGAAGTACATACCAGAGCGCAACTAACTTCTAGACTGTCCCTATTCTCCAAAAGCGTGCAAAAGCCATGATGGGAACGGAACCTAACATCAGTGACTGCTCCCACTTTCCGACAACACAAATTTGGCAGCGTAACGGCGCCACAGGAATCTCAGTACAGTTGGAGCCAGTTTGGCAGAAGGACTGCGCGGAGTGTGGCATGAAAGATCTTGGGCAAACATGTGCACTACAATGATAACATACAGAGAGGACTACAACCAAAGTGTTAAAATATGTTAAAATGAATCATGGAAAAGGAATAAATACATATAAATAAATGGCACAAGTGAAATAGTCTCCAGGGCCTCTTTGATATGCAGAATTATGAGTCATGGTGCTGTGGCCTGCTGGTCCAGGCTATACTCCTTCTGCGGAAATGTGTATTGAGCCCATGGGCCCAAATATCTGACTCCAGGGTCCTCTCGCGCAACAAGAAGAGCAACAGGATGCTTGTCTCATGTCTATTCTTGCTGCTCATTCTGATTCACTGTCTATTCAAACATGTGTCGATCTTGTCTGCATGTCTGCTTGCCTCGATGGAACCTGGCCTGCCCTCCTACTCAATGTACCCACTCGCCTGTTTCTCTCTCTCTCTCTCTCTCAGTCTCAATCCAGAAACTCTGACTATGTGCAGGGAATTAAGAATCCTATGAATCCTGCATGGTGGAATAGATCACAATACTGTACAATCCTCGAATAGGCAATGACTCATGACCCAAATATACCCAAATCGTCCCCTCCTCTGGGGTCATTCTCAAGCCGTACCTCAAGGTGAGAGTGCTGCTGCATGCACGGCTGGGGCACAAGTTAACATACGGAAGCCACACAAGCTATTATTAGTCCTACGTTCCCAAATCCCTCTTTGAGGTCAAAGGTTGCAAAGTCTCCATGAATCGCACGGATTCTGTGGCTGTAATGTCTAAAATTCAAAGTGGCTAAAGTTTGCTGAAAGCAGCCAATCACAGGTACTGTAAAGCGTGGTACAGCGGTGCAGCGTGGTGCGGAAATTGCTCTTGGTCGGTCACCACTCGTAGGAAGGCCATGGCCCTTCTGTGGCATTCCAATCACCAAAGGGGTAGTTGTACTCACTCAGGCCCTGCACACTGGACAAGGCACTCCGCACTCCAAACACTCCAATTCTGCCATATCCAAAGGGCTTCAAGCAATTTCAAGACTGTATACCTGAAAAGAAAACCAAGTACGGAACCCAACTGGACATGCAATGTTTTCATATTTGTTCCACAATTTTGGGTTTGGTGTTTTGATGTTTTAACATGTTTTAACGTTTCTTTACAGCAAATATACCTGCCCTGGTCCAGTAGCCTCTTGAGATTTGAAGCAATCAGCTTGCCCCAGCCTCAAGCATGAGGTCCCTCTGCCACATCATGACGTTCTTGAAGTTATACCTCACTGACAAGATGGGAAGCAAAAATTGAGCAAGTGGAAGTGGAATCGCTAGAAGGGCACAAGTAGCTGCGAGAACTGAGCTGTTAGCATAGGCACCAGACATTCAAAATGAAAGCTTTTCATCCACCGGTTCATTCATTGTCTTTCCCTGTAAATGACAGTGGTGCTATACTAAGTCTTATCAAGCAAGTTTTCTTTTGGCATTCCTCGCATGCACAAAGACCTTCGGCAGTGCAAAGGTTAGCATGCACAAACATCTTGAGTTTATGAAAGTTCAATGGCATTTAAAATCCTGCAAATGCATCAGGAAAGCGTCGCACTCGTTCCAAACATTGTCATCGTAGATCTTGTGATCAATCCTGCCGCGGATGCCCCGCAAATACTCCATGGGTAAGCTCATGGTTGGATTTGTTCAGATTGAAACAACGGGAAACTGTGCAAAGCCGCACTCCTGAAGCATCCTCTTGCCTGGGCTGGAAAGTTACTTATTGAGTTTTGTAGCAATGAGTGTCAGCGTCTCTCCCTGGTGGTGTTGCTACAAGTTGCCAAATTCACTACAAAGTTGGAAGGAATCAGTTGCACTGGCTTGCTCGAGAAAAGAAAAAAGGAAAAAAACAGAAACCTTACATTTCTGTGATATAGTATAGAGATTTTATGAGATATTGTTAGTCTGCGAGAGTCTCAACTTCAGGGGCTTATTATGGCTTATTGTCACATTCAAAAAGAGCTTACGACATCTTGCGACACCTCATCTCAAACCTGCGAGCTAAGAAAATCATCACAGCATTTCTGCACCTCCACTGGAGGATCAAGGCAAACGGGAAGGTAGTCCAAAATGCCCATCTCAGGTGCCAAGACTTTGGACATGGAAGAACTTGCCAAGGATCTCGCTCTGTGTTAATGAAACAGGATGTGCTTTTTTTAATCCAATGACAATGACAAGTGTATCCAAGCAGAGACATGAGGTGCGCATTTATTTCAGTCTATACAGGTGCTCGTGGAGAGACTGCTTTAAATCATCTTGCTCTACCAGTAATACTCCCGTGAAACCATCTTGGAGTAGTACTCGCGCGGTCCCAAACAGCGGTACCTTTGCAGGGGATACCTGCCATAGCTATTGATTAGAAGTTCCACACTTATTTTGACTGACAACCTGGGCATCATGATCTCTGAGTTCCATACATTGATACCACCTTCCTTTTGTCGCACGCCAAAGATTCCAATGGTGACATTCAGCTCGTCGGTAAATACCCTGGCGTTGCATAAATAAACTCTGACTTAGCATGTAGAGGAAGTTGGTAAGGAGGATCGAGCCTAGACATCCATTAAATGTGGCCACTGGAATGTCGGGTCTAGGCCCAGAAATAACCTGTCACAAGTGGATTTGCTGAGACAAAGGCGCTGCGGTGTCCACCACCTCTGGCTGGTACAGAGGCAGAGGGATGCTTCCTCAGAGCAGGACGGCACACAATCAGATCATCGGGTCACCCAGCTTGGGAGCAGCATGGCATCATATCAACCAACATCCCTTTGCATGGCAAGTCATGGCATTGATATGCATTGATCGTATCTATTGACACAACCGTACAAGTAGCAGTCGGAACTTGGTTTCTCACAATATTGGAGAAAGATGGATAAAGGATGCAATAGTAAGATACAATTGGCGGTGGGGGAACACCCATGTTGAAGCGCATTTGCGACGACCGCCATTGCCCTCAGCCTTTCATCTTTCCCGTCAACGCGACAAAATGTTGCTCTGAAAAGTTCTAACAACTCTAACGAACATGTGCAGAAACGCATGGCGCCAGCTTCAGGTTAGGCTCCGTTGAGGATGAATTTTGAGTTGAAGTATCTTGCCCACTTGGTGGGGATCACCTCGAGTCAGTCGTGAGTCGCTTGCGACAGTCAAAATCGAAAAAAAATGCTCCTGTCTGCAACATGTCTGCAACATGTCTGCAACATGTCTGCAATATGCAGCTCTATTTGGACTTGGCATCCGACTCCAACAATATGCAGCTCCAGCGGCACACCCTTCGCCTTCACAATGGATTCAATGGATGCTGAGCGGATGCTGTTCATCATGCCATACTTTTGAAGGAAAAAAATGAAAGAATCCAACAGAATCCAACCGAATCCGACCAAAAAAGTCTGAGCAGCTTCTGCAGACTTCTGCATACAGGAGTTAATGGATGTTAATGGTACTCATTCTTGTCAGTGAGACATACTGTATCAATCTGTATCATACTCTCCTGCTTTGAATATGGGGCAAATTCACTGCCCTTGCCTTTTGCAAGTCCTGGCCTGGTTTCCTGCCACGACGAGGTTGCCCACAGTTCTTCGCTTGCTGTCGTACCGCCAGCCCGTGATCTGCAGGAAACTGATCACAAATATGTCTTCAGCTCGAACTTGAATCTTAAGCAGGACGAATTCCAGTGACTCAGACTATTGTATTATTTGTATTTGAGCATTTTGAGCTCCCAACGAAGGTATTGTTGATCGGCGTTGGAAAAAGCATCAAGGAGGTGTTCAGCTGCGACACACAGAAGTTATCCTTCCGAATAGATGAACGACCCGTCAGTGAAAAGATGTCATTTGGACCTGGTCTCGCTGCTTGATGTCCACTTACAAAATGTGACAAAACAAAAGTATGCAAAAGTATGAAATATGTGAAGTAAACAAAGCAGACTTCAAGGGCAATGGTCTCCTCCCAGACTTTCTCCAACAGGTCCGCATCATCTCTCCATTCTGCCAAGAAATGGAAAAATCCAGCAAAATGGATCGGACAAGAGACGCTTGTGGTGGATGTTGTTTCAACACTTTGCAAACGAAAGTGCTGCTAATAAATAGTGTCATGGAGACTCCAGTTCCATCTCCAAGCTTCAGAAAAAGAAGACCATCTCACATGTCATTCCCATGTGCAAGGCGTGTGCATGTTTCAAACATGTTCAAATTGTCAGTGCAAAGCATGCCGGCTCTTCGAGGATTGAAGGCAGAGCCCACCAATGCTGGCGCAGGAGTGGGAAAGTTGATGAGCATCATGTGATATGCTGAAGTGTCTGAAGTGCTCGCAAAGGCAGTGAGGACATGCTGGCACCTTGAACGCTATCCCAGTTGTCTGATCCGGATTTGCTGGAATCAGCAGGTAGGCAATTCCTGGCGTGATGCAGGAACCTGCACTACTGGGATCATACCAGATTGGTCCTCGATTTGGCCAAACAACTCTTTCGCAAGATGTGCACGGCCAAAAGAAGAAACTCTGTGATCATTGGATTTGTTTTTGGAAGTACTCTACACATTGATTAGTTGAACATGCATTGACATTTACTCATCGTTTAGTCTATATGCAAACTTTGTAAGAACAACAAGAAACGTGCAGCCTAATCTGCTCAATCAAAGCATAATATACCTTCCAGCAGAATCAGAAAAAAAAAACTGTCATGACAGTTGCCGAACCCAATGTGTCAGGCGCAAAACCAGCAAACAACCTGAGCCTGATGCCAACCTATTGTGCATATTACCTGCTAGCTGCTAGACTCCCCAAAAGTCGTTGATTAATCTGGGGTTACAGTAGCCAGCGTTGCAGCAGAAACCCCAGCGTTGGCATTTGGCTTTCTACTTGGATGGCCCCCCCGCGCTCATCCACCACCCCCTCTTCGTGCGGCTGGGCAGCCGTGGCTCGGTATTGTGCAGGTCCCTGAAACTGCTTGCGGATGGCACGCCGGAAGGAGTTTGTTGGCTGTTGGACTCTAAAGAACCGATTCCAATATTCCTACGCAAAATCAATCAAAAACATATTTACTCACTGCAGGCACGAAAAGTGAAGTCTCGAAAGTGAGTTTTAAGCGACGGGCAGTTCGATCCCGCGAAACCCTGTCAATGTCATTGTTGATTGAATATGTAGCCTTTCCATGTCTGTTCATGTCTTTTCCCACCTAAGTCACCCAACATTCCCAACATGAAAGCAGGTGTAAAAAGCACAGCAAGCCTTCAGCATCCCCTAGCCCTAGCCCTAGCCATGTTTTTGTGTTTTTGTTCGGCACCATTGCAAGCTGAGGCTTGAAATACGCTTTCACCATCTTTCAACTACCCGTTCTTGGTGGCAGACCCGTCCACAGAAGCACCACCAAGACCGGGTGCACGAAGCCAAACTTTGCGCTTGAGGTCTTGGCACAGGAGGACCTGACCACAGGCCACTTGATCCACTTGTCTTGCCACTTGCCATTGATTTCCTAGCGATTTTGATCATATTTCCAAGTGCCTTAGGATGCACCCTTCAAGGCAGGGCAACCATTGGTGGATGTCTAAATATTTGAGACGGAGAGTGCAGTCACTTTCAACATTCAAAGACAACCTACATCCAATCACTAGGTACAAAGCAGCCAATCATGGTAGATTTGGGGCCGTGGGTTTGCGGCACCGGTCGCAGGACGATAAGTGCCGAGAAGCCCCTGGCAAACACCTCTCCCCTACGATGATGGGCACCACTTGCTCAAGGTCCACATACAAAGGCGACACGCCCTGGCGAGCCCTTCCCAAGGAGACAGCTGTGGCACAGCTGTGCGAAAGATTGAATTTGTTAGCAATCCTAAGGTGAGTATTGCCCTAGAATTTTGTCTTGATATTCTATATATAATCATACATATATATATATAATCATATATATATATTTATTTATTTATTTATATTTATATTTATATATACGTATATACATATATATATATAGATATATATATATAATCATATTTATAGATATATATAATCATATTTATATATAAATAAATATAAATAAATATATATATAATCATATTATATATAATCACAGAAGGAAGTTTAGAAGTCAAACTTCCGACAATATGGACAGATGAAAAGCAGAGATGGGAAGAGTCAGAGAAGAGAAGAGAAGAGAAGAGAAGAGGAGAAGAAGGAAGAAGAAAGAAGAAAGAAGAAAGAAGAAAGAAGAAAGAAGAAAGAAGAAAGAAGATCACAAAAGAGAAAGTCTCAGAAGAAAGAAGATCCAGGTGCGCGAAAAGGTAGGAAAGTCGCGAAACACTGTGCTTTTCCAATGATTTGTGGCTCCAGAGGGTCGAAAAGTAGGCTCGCTAAAGCGGCGGGTGCGGAGCCAGCTGGCCAGATGAGAGATGAAAAATTGCACGCCGTTGTGGCGCGAAGCACATTTACAAGTGAAAAAGCTAAAAACACTTCACGTTCGGAGCACTTTTGGAAGTTGAGATGTCGAAAAAGTGCGCGCCGTTGTGGCGCGAAGCACATTTCGAAGTAAAAATGTACAAAACACACCAGGTCCGGAGCACTTTTGGAAGTTGAGATGTCGACAAAGTGCACGCCGTTGTGGCGCGAAGCACATTTCGAAGTCAAAATGTACAAAACACACCAGGTTAGACCACTTTTGGAGATTGCACTACACCACAACTACAACTCCACTACACTACAACTACAACTACAGCTGCACTACACCACAGTACATCCAGCAGTTGTGGGTGAGGTGACCGACCAGGTGACCACTGCAACCATTGCAGCCACTCCAAAAAACACAGCTCCAACCACCTATCGGTCCATCAGTGGATTCGCTCTGCCATCCGTGATTCACAACAACCAATCTCTCCTATAGGTTTCCTATGTTTGAAACTTCCGCCACCGCCTTGTGCGGTACTACTGGTATAATATATCTTCTATATGCTTCTATTGTTTTCAGTGACTTTGCAGTGGTCAGAAGAAATCCTCTCCGAGATGAGTTTCATCAGGAAGGACCTTTCTGTGGAGAAATTCAACATAATTCAACATACATGGCGCCACATGGCAGGGTGTCCAAGAAGGCAGCGAGTCGGTTGCTCACGCGCTTCTTCATATAGTGCCAATCGGTCGTCCTCACCTGGTCAATCTTATGCAGATAAGAAGCTGCGCAGAGCTCAGTTCAACTGTTTTGATTTCGGCCTTTCAACAGCAGGCAGGGCAACAAGCTTGCCTCATACATGACGAAAACTCGCGCGATGACAGCGCCAGTGCCAGGAACATATTTGATTGGAGGTGGAGGGATCCGGTCCTTGGCATTTCAGATCAATTCAGCCAGATGTGCGCAGCCACAAATCACATCATGAATGATCAAAACCGCACGGGAGCAAATGCGTCTGTGCTTGCGTGCTCTTAAATCCTTGCCCCGCTGCCCCCCTCTGCAATCACATCTGTGCCGATCTCTGCTGGCTGCTCAAGAATGCCGCGCGGCAAGACCATCTGAGAGCCGCACCACTAAGTGCGGAAGCACAAAGCCGGAACCATCCTGCTCGCAAACATGCCAAAAGGCTCAGTTGACGTACATGGGAGTTGGGTCTGCCAGTGTGTACTGGTTCTTTTGCAAACTGCGTGTAATCTGACCATCAGTTGTTTTAGTTTAATGTGACACAGAGCCAAACACCCTTGGGCAAAACACCCTGCGGCTATGAAACACATTTCTTGTAATCAAGTTCATTCAGAAATTCAAGTTCATTCTCATGTAAATGTGCCTTGTATGATCCTACCAAATTCAAAGTTGAAATAGCAGGAATATGTGAAATGTGTAGTGTGAAGGTCAGAGATTGTGAAAGTCTGTATGCCCTGAGTACAGTAACAAAAAGCTTGCTTTCCAGGACCTAAGGAAACTGTTTTTGCAGTACCTCCGCAATCAAACCAGTCCATCGTCCACGCTCATGGCGACTCATCTGGGCCCTTGCCCTGTGCCCTGGCCTGGCCTCCTGCAACCGTCTTGCTTTGGAATAGTTTGCGATTGCTTCATCATCAGATCTGTGGAGGTAGACCTGATCATCTATCCATGACTCTTCATGGTCTGGTAGACCAAGAACCTCAGCGATCATGATGATGATACGACATCATACGACATCATACGACCACTGTAGCAGCCGTCACAGCTGTTAAATCATGTCGAATCTACCTTTGTATCATACGACTGGCACAAGTCTGGCATGCTTTTGCATGCTCCCATCAGAGGCCTCTCCTGCAAAAGGAGAGCACTCTCAGCTCCGCACCGGCGGAGGATTTACCGTAGAATTGGTGGAAATTGACATGTCATCAATCTCAGCTTGGGCAATAGCTGCCTCGGATCAAGACTTTGGTCGAATGGGAAAGCACGTGGATGGTCCAAATGGTTCTTTTATCCTGCAACTACGAAGGTGCTTGAACATGCTTGAACATCAGACACTGCCCATAGATTCACCACGATTTCACATATTCAGTTTTGCAGTGACCAAGCATTCTGCCAGATGTCCGAGCATTGCAGCACCTCAGGTTCTCTACACACCGCAACTAACCAGAACTGCACCATGTTCCAGGTGCCGCACCCTGCAGAACGCCAAGCAAAGTGAACTTTCCACGTGCCTCGTTCCCACAGCATGGAAAAGCTCAGGTTTAAAATGGTTGAAATATGTTGAAATGCTTCTCGTCGAACCTCCAGTCACCTACTGTAGTGACAAACCCTTATGATCCTTATGACCATCTCAACACTGTTGGATGTGATTGGTGCGACGTGAACTCGGTACAAATGCGTGTCCTTTTTCAACGTGCCATTGTGCAATCAATGTTCAGGCAGTCAAAGCTACAAAGCAAATGAATTCGTGGATCTAACTGAGGGCGCTATTGATCGCAACTTCGGGTTGGTCCCGACTTGATTTTGGCTCGAGGATTATTTAGGATGAAATAGGTCAAAAAAAACTGTGCTACCAAAGCGCTGTGCCGTGCTGTGATATGATTCCAGTGATAAGGATTCTGTCGAGCAGAACCCTTTGAAGACAAAGTTTGAATTCCGACGCTCTGAAAGACTTCTAGTGATCGAGGAGCTGAGCGTCCGACCATGATTCGGTCCATGTTGCCATTGGCCGCCAGCTGCTAAGATTCAAAATGTATCAACTCAATTCAATTCATTAAAGCTGCGATCTGGTGTCGAATCCGGTGGTGTTTTGGTCAGACTTGCCTTATCAAAAGAAGCATGTAGGGTACTTAGGCTTGTGCGTGTGGTGCTGTACATTACGAGAACGTCAGAGCTTGCAAGGCAAGCCGCATGGTGACATGTACAGTCACAGTAAAGCTGTAATACATTCCAATACTCCCTTAAAAATATCACGCAGCTGCGATTGCAAACATCCACGGGTTGAAGTTCAGGATGAAGTGATGATCAAGTCCAGGAGCGTCTGAGTCTTCCAAAGTCCCATCAAAGCCATGGCCAGTGTTCCCAGCACTTCCCACCTACATAAGCCAGGCACAACCCACCACACTTTCATGTGTCCTGTCTTCGGCCATTGGAATTATAGACATACTGACCTGGCGCAGGGTTGGACAGGACTTGATTTGTTGGCATAGCACAAGGAGACTTGTCTTGGAATGTGTAATGTGTTGCTCTCCAACTTCTGTATGCTTGCAGGTCCACCAGATCGAAGTTAAAACACTCAAAGGACTGATGGGGATTTTATTAAATCAATTTAAATCACATATATGTAACATATAATACATGATAATATATGTATGTGTACATATGTATACATATATTTATATATTTACACATATATATATACACCTACACTAATCATTACTAATCTTAGCCTGTGGACAAGACTAAAGCTAGCGTGTGTCTACCCATTGCCTCATGCAATGCACACGGCACCTTGGGCCTGCTCTTGTCGGCTCCTAGACACATTGGCCTACGGAATCAGAATGGAAGTGCTGACTCTGTCAGTCTGTCAGCACATCAAAGGATCAAAATTCAAAGCAGGATGTGTTGGTCAACAATAGTCCACCCTCTCAGATATCTCTCAGACCATTCTTGCAGGCGATTTTCCTGAATTTCCCCACCTGCATCGACTGGAATGCTAAGTAGCCCATCAAGCCAATGCCGAAGAGCTTTGAGCATAATCCACCAGTGAGAAGCACAGTTGTCTTTAGAGCCTGGCAAAGTGTAGAAACTGCTGAGACTTCGAATTTCACAAAGCACAACAGCTTGGTATGGCAAGCAGTCCTAGGTGTCAGAAACATCTCGAAATGTTCTGTACATCCGACCTAGCCGCAAGTGCTGAGCAGTTCCCACTAGTTCCCAGCCTTCAAGATTCCCCAGTGCTCCCCCAGCGATGAGGGAAGGATCCCAGATTCCTCAATCCGCAGGTCGCGGATCCTGGCGGTGCCACTGCGTTTTCAAAGTCGACAGCTCCTTCGAGTCTTCGAGCTCATTTAGAATTTAGAATCGACAAAATGAATCATGATGAATCTAGAATCAGCAGAGCAGACATCCAAATGAAAATGCGCAGGGATAGACAGATTGTCTGGGAATTAGCTAGGAGGCTTTCTGCAGTTGGTGAGGGAAGTAACAAAGGCTTGGCGGGCTAGTTCACGTACAACTTCTTGAAATGCCAAGGGCCAACTTCTTGGTACAGGTACCAGCACTGGGCAGATGGGTTGTCTGAGCATTCCTTGACTGTACAAACAGCAAGTGCTCACTAACTTGCTACAGTACAGGATGGGCTCAAAAAGGCAGCAACAAATGAATTGCTGCCTCTTACAAAAAAGAAGCACGTCACAATTAGAATTGCAGACGGATGTGTACAGTGGGTACCTGAATGATTCCTAGAATGGAAGCTCGCTTCATAATAGTTCAAATATTTAAAATGTTGGCCGTATTCTGAAAAGGGCCTCGTTTTGTCACAAGAAGGCATCTTCTCTTCTTACCTACGAGCTATCTGGGAGCAGCCTACCCTGAATTTACATGCCAGGCTGACTCTCCAGAATGCGGCTTTTCTCGCCATCCCTGGCCAAAGTGTGACAAATGATGAGTAGATGTGAGTACATATTGATCATATGAGCACTGGTGTCTTAAGATGGGGGGAAGCCTGAAAAAGGAATAGTGCCAGTGATAAATCAGCAGTTTTTACACCATCGAATCCTATTCACTTTGACCGTTTTGACCGCTGAGAAACTGCGTTGTCGCACCTTCAATGACTCCTGCGGCGCATCCTCCAGGAACTCGGTGGCAGCGTGGCATAGAAGGGGACAGCCAGCAAACACCAGAACGGACACCCTGATATGTACAAATGCATACAAATGTAGCAGTTGCAGCACTTGTTTTCTGAAATCATTTTTTGCTATTGTTTCATATTGTTTCATATTGTGTGTGCATGTACGTGTGATGTGCAGCTATGATCAGCTATGTGTGTGCAGTCATTTGTAGACAATCCACAAACCGCGCAATGCTGTCTGTACATAAAAACCCAGACAAATTGTAAAAAAAAAAAGCTGCGTCAAAAACGTATGATGCTCTGTGTCTTGTCCTCTGTTTTTTGGTGGGTTCGGCCTTTTCAGAAGCAAACACAAAAATAAGATGGCACACCGCATGGGTGTGAAGTATGGACAGACAGTTTTTATAGCAAATCATCGACCTCCTGTGGAACTATTACAAGTGTACTACCTCACTCTGATATTTAAGTGTATTTTTATCTGAAATCTTGCACTTACCTCACTAAAGCAATAGCACTTTTCGCAGGAATGGCGCATTTGTTGGTGTGCAAGTGTCTTTGCGCGTTTTGATGTTCTAGAAAAGGCCGAAAAAACACAAAAAGAGCAACAAAACCAAAACCAGAAGAAAAAAGGCTGTAAACTTGGAGCCCGGGGACTCTGATTTAGACAATGCATCATGTTCATTCATTTTCATCATCTTGCAAATTTCCTTGTAGATGGTGCATTTGTCTGGCAGTAAGTCCCACAAAGAAAGCTCATTCCTAGCAGGGAGTGCCACAGCCTCAAAAAAGAAAACGGCTAAGTCTTCACGCAAATGTTTTAGGGTTTAGTTCAATCAGAAAGTGCAATAGTCAATGAAAGAAGAGTATTGTTGCATTTAGGAAATCCGTTCGCGTATGAACACGTTCTTTTAGAAATGTCAGATTCTTTGTTTGAGAAGTCCAAAAAAGAGAAAGAAGGTGCAGGCACTCTATCAAAAGTCTGTGCTGTAGAAAATGCCTCTATATATATATATATAAGACGATCTATACGTATAATATGTACCAAACTGTGAATGATCTAAATGAAATTGTGTTGCGTTCTTTTGAGTCAAATGGGCAGCATCCAAAATAAGAAAATACATAGATGATCAAGTGAGTATGCCAGTATGCCCTGATCTCCGTAGATCCGTTTGGCCTCCAGGCTGTTGAGACAACGATTTTGGAGTGAAATGCAGTGAAACAAATCCAACTAGAAAATACTATAGATATCTATAGAATTCTATAGATATTTAATAAATCACATTATTAATATTATTATATGTATATATATATATGTAGATATATACTATCTAAATCACTACCAAGGTCTAAAGCGGGAGAAAAAGTGAAACAAATACAGCGTTCCGCTCCGTTCCATAAATGGGATTGGAGTTCTCTAGTTCAGGGGCAGCATTGTGGACAGTGGACAGCCTGGTGATTCGATGCGACGCGATGTGTATGTCATGATAAATATTATCATAATGTCTGTGTACGGGTCATTGGCTGGCGAACGGTCTTTGCAAATATAAGATGTTTTTTCCGCAGATTTCAAAGTTTGAGCTGGACCTCGACGGATATTCAAACCATGAAGTCCTTCAAACCATGAAGTCCGAACCACTGGTGATACACTGAACGATGAGAGAAAATTAATTTGCTGAGATTTCACAGCCGGATCATGTGGCACTACGCAGGAACTGATTTTCTCAGGGTAGCTTGTGGTCGTCAAGGGAGCAGCGACTCACCTGCGAGGCAGTACCCTTGCCCATGGTGGGAGCACCTATCGACCCTGCCGACTGAAAACGACGCATCCGGATATCGCTCAAAGTGAGGACCAGCGTGCCAGAGCTTGACAGGGATTTGGACAGGTCGGCATACCTCGCTGCCAGTGCAGCACGGACAAACTTCGGAAAAACAAATGGAACAATGGGCGGTGCTGCCACAGCTTTCTCCGACTTCCCGGCTTCAAGCCAGCTTCGGAGTTCTTCCCAAACGCCCGGAAGGACGCAGTCGTTGAGGAGTGTCTTGCGTCGGTGTCTGGAGGACGTTGGAAGCTTCATGCGGATCTCCTAGAAGGTCGCAGGAGCCATGCGATTTGGTGCAGAAACATGCAGCAGAAATATCTCCCTTCAACTGTTGTATGCCTGGGATCCTTTCAGTTTCATTTTGTACAAAGTAGAAACTCAGAACAGCACGAAACTTTACCATGTGTGGAAATCCGCCCGCACCGAAGGTGCTGGGGCGTGATCTTCCGGATGGCACTCGTAAAAGGTTACAGGTTTACCTGGGGTGGGGGGGCATTTTTCGGCCAAAACCTCCTGTTTTTGATAGGTCGTGACGCTCGCCTTCAAAAAACACTGTAAAAAACAGTACGGAAGACACCTGTTCGTGAACGCGCCCGTCCAAAATCGGCAAGCGAAAAGTGAAAAAAACATGTGTTTTTCAACTTTTTGACCTCAAGAGTTTTTGGACCCGTTTTCGGACTGATTTTCGTCGTTTTGTGATAGCAGAAACACTGGTTTTTACAGTGTTTTTCTGTTTTCTGCATGCTTGACGGCTAGCTTCAAAACTTCCAAAAACCTCGTAAATTACGCTGTTTTATGTTACGGTGTGAATGAAAACATCGTAAATACCAGTGTTTTTTGACGTTGGTTAAAAAAACACTGTAAATTACAGTGTTTTTGGCCACCTGACCCTCAAAAACCATGGTATTTGCAGTGGTTTCTGCTTCTCACCGCGCAAAAACACTGTAAATAACAGCAATTTCGCCGTTTTTTCATGTTTTTCGTTATTTTTTGAACTGCGTTGGTCCGCTATACATGGCTATCAAATTCTTCGCGTTTTTTTTTTTCCGACAATCAGTACTTTCGGATGTTTTTGGTCTCAATGGCCGACATCATTGGCAGTTACGAGCGGCTGCCCAACGATGCGGTGCGGGCGGTTGCCGTCGCGAAGCAACGTGAATATATCTTGTTCATGTTTGTTCCATGTCAAGGTTGCAGAGGTCAAAGCAGTGACTCGCTCAGGGAACCCTCAGGTGCCGCTTTGAACAGGTTTTTGGGGTTGACTCCCTGCCAGGTGAGGGCTAGATTTTTATAAGACATCCCATCCCGATCACTTCGGTCACTTCTTTACTGTTTGAGATAAGTTTCTGTCAGATGGAATTCAGATCGAATGTCAGAATACATGTGAGATAAGATGTCAGATAGAATGCCAGAATTTATCTCAGATGAATTGTCAGAGTATATGCCACGGCGGGGATCAATCGAACAAAGTATGTAATTCAATGTGATTCAACCCTGTCCTTCACTTCCAAAGTCTGGGGCTCAAAACCCACCGACACGGTTTCAATACCGTGAATGCATTGCGAGGAGCACGCCGGCTTCGAATGAGTCCATGCATGAAACGCAAGGGTGTCCTTGTTTAAAGGCACTCGTTCCGACGAAACTTCGGTGATACTCAACTTGGAAAGGTCAGCCTCCTCAGTCTTTGTGGACGAAGAATCCTTTGTAGATTCCACCTGCAGAAGACACGATCCCATGACCCACTACAATAACAACAATCGTCCTCACCCTACATGACATGTGCCCTGCAAACAATGGTGCGAATCCCTGAAATGCTCCCCCATCACTGAAATCTAGTGAGCTCCAACTATGGTCTGAATCCCAAAGTCCAAACCACCCCGGCAACTGTGCACCAGCCTCGACTTCAGGCGCCGGTGCATCAATCGAATCTCGTACTTCGTTAAGGGCAATGAGGTGACAAAAGTCTGCGTCACCTGCGAACAGCGCAAGAAAACAAGAGCAGCGTAAAGCGTTCATCTTCATTTTCTTAAATTTGAAGCAAGTTCCGCACTCTAGGGTTATCGTATGCCAGTATTTTGCAACAGGGCTATCGTTGGGAGGATGGTGTTTGGCCCCGGAGTGCAGCAACAGGGAGGTGATGTTGCTTTTGAAGCTTGTCAGACTCAGAAAGCATGGGCGCTTCGAAAGTGATTTTTATGGTTGTCTATGTTGCTAAGCGAGCTGTTCTCCTTTGGCATCCTGAACAAGGCACCACCTGGGAATGGGGAGAGTTGGCTAAAGCGAAGTCTGACCGTCCAACCCTCGCATGTTTACACATACAGCTTTGCTTAGTTCTGGGACCTTGGATATCCTTGGATTACTATGAATTGCATCGCATGAGCCGCGGACAAGATTAGATAAATAACGCAATTGAGGGGGTGTTCCTACCTCGTTTTCCAGTCCCGTAGCGATTTTTGGGGTCTGACCGCGTTTTCCAACGCCGCACTTGTGTGTTAATAGCTAAATGCTTTACATGCGATGCCTACCTCGTTCTCGGGGTGCTCCCTCGTTTTACAGCCTAATTTTGATGTTTTCGACAAACCGGAGCACACCCCAATACTACTACTCTCCATTTAACCAAATAAAAGCCGTCACTCACATGGAGGCCTATGCAAAATGCCAAAACCGAAGTAATTAGTGAAGAAGATGCTTGTGACAGCCTACACATCACAAAGGAGCAGACATACAGTAAAAGTTCAAAATAGTTCAAATGACTAGCCAACGACTAGCAAAAAAGTATGTGTGGCGAGGATTCCAGCCATTTACTTTTCGCTGGCAATGCAAGTTGGAAGATCAACAGCAAAGCGACGGGCTGTGGCACCGACAGGTTCAGAGGACACGGGAGTCAACAATATAGAGGGAAAAGAAAACCAGAGCAAATTAAATACAATAAGGAATCAATAAGGAAAGAAATGTACAGGGACTGCGATAGAGATGGAGATAGTCATAGTAACATAGGTGCATACACAATGTCATAGAGCAGGTACAACATTATACACTTGTTTCACTGGATCAGTGTCTATCAATGTCTATCATTCACATGAAGGTTTGGACATGATTAGACTCGAGCAGCAGCTAATCTCTTTCCGAGCAATTTTGAGGTGCCCCCGCCTAGCGACCCCGGGATCGACCCGAGGTAGATCTGTGCCTCAAGCTGTCGCCCCGATGCATGTTTGAAGGTCAGAGTCAACGAAGCTGCACTCCTTGGCGGACACTAAGTCCGCTAAGTGTCTTTACCGGTCTTCAACCGATAAAAATCTTTAAATGGGAGACCATTTGAAAAGTTTGAATTCCAATCGTTGGGAGTGGTTCGTTCTACAAAACTCTAGCTAGACATTCGACAAGAAAAGAATGAAAACAAAACAAAAGTTTGGGAAATAGCGGCTCAAAACTCTAGCTTATTTCCCAAACTTCCCAAACTTTCCGCCAAGGCTCCGGTGTCCTGTGCCACTCAGCTGCATCTGCTGGACTGAGCTTGCCACCAACTTCTGAAACCGCTCGATGTCGGGACCGTAGAGAAGATCCACGAGGCGCCTGTTTTCGAGATCCTACCAGACACTGGCAATGCAACTTGAATCTATAAGTCTACAAGTGATGTATGTGATGTGATGCAGGCTTGATTTAGGTGCTTTTTTTGAGGGACAGCGATGCTCTAAATCTGGCTTTGAAGTACCCTTGAGACCTTGAGATGCCTGAAGATGCCTGAAGATGTCTGAAATCTTGTTCTGCTTTGACATGTCACATGTCTTGATCCTCCGTCTTCATGCCAAAGAAGTGAGCCATCTTTGGAGAGGGATTTTGGAACCGCAGATCCGATCCGAGATATGCTTCCGCATCACATTGGCTGGCCAGGACTGATCGTGCGGCCACAAGCGAGGCATTCATGTCAGCCTTCTGGACCATCAGTGCGGTGAACTGCTTCACGAAGTACTCCACTGCGAACCACAAAAGCCACATGGGGGCAATGAAAATGAATTGACGGAACATTCCCCACAGGAGCACATCCCAAAATTCGTTGACATCTCCACCATTTTGAGGATCGTTGACATGTGGAGGCGTCTGAGTCTTGAGCAATATCCAAAGAAGCTGCGTTGCTGCAGCTTTGCGATGGTCGCAATAAATGAAGCCAGCAAACAGTCGGCAAACAAGAAGAAGTGAGTCTCGGTCCGTGACGTTCAAGTACAGGATCAGAACTTGGTTGCAAAGCAACAAAAGATTGTAGGAGAGGGCGGCCATTGTTACCTGGATCGAAATTTGAAAGCAGAGCAAACATGCATAAATATGTTGTATGATTGATCATGATTGGTTTCTTCCAAGTTTGGGGCTTGTCAAGCAACACAAGCGCTAGAAAAGAGGTCACGCAGTAACCCCTATGTAACCCTAACATACCTGACCATGTCAGGACCATGTCAGGACCATGTCAAGACCATGTCACTGTGTTGCCGTTGGGAGGTAGCATGTCGCCTTGGAGAAGTCCTGCAAAGCCAAGCCACAGCAGTGTAAAAGGAACGAGGCAAAGGTCGAAAGCAGGGATGGCTGCAATGCCAACATTCAACGATTTCATCCAAACGAAGATGGCAAAAAGAAAGGATAAAAAGGCGGCGTAGTCGATAAGGGTCTTGCATGTGCTTAACTTCTTGACCTCCAACAATGCATCCACCTGCGCAGAGTCTCAAAATGCATTTCAGCTGCTGGGACAAAAATCTACACAAAGAGCTGCCATGAACTGCTTGGCCACATCCTCTGGGCATGTCCTTGTGTGATTGTGTAATAACTTTCAAAACGATTCAACAAATTCCGAAACAATTAAAGCAATCCATAACCAGTATCAACCAATCCCGCCTTGCGCTGAGCCTCTTTTGAAATCTGCTCCTGGGCAGTAGCTTTAGGAGATGCTGTTCGGCATGCCTTCTTCAAGCGTCCCAAGTTGAGCACGACCAAAGGCGTCAGCCAGAACGGGCTTGTTTGGACGCAAAAAAGGATGATGCCTTTGAAGTGAACATCCAGGTTGGGAAGAATCACGTCAAAGACAGAAAGGTCTGAAGAAAGCATTTGAAACAGCTCTAACGGCGTGAAAGCAGTGAGACCAGTCTGTTTGCTGGCAACAATCTTGAGCTCATTGAAAAGGCTGGCGACACGAACGAACACTGGACAGACTGGACGATTCATGTTTTATCTTGTTACGCCCTATGTTACCTCCAATGTCTAGCTGCTTGCACAACTGCAAAAACCAAAGATGCCCAGACCCAACTGTCTGCGCTCACGTGAAACTGTCAGGCTGAAAATTGGATCACGAGACTCCGTTCAGTCTCACCATGTCTCACCCCATGTCACGGACTCACTGCCTGCGTAGGATGAGCCGCATGATCGGTCTTCACAAGGCCATCAACCTTAGGAACGCGCAGCACCCAGGCGCTTCAGATTATATAGATTTATATAGTGCATATATATATATATATATATATATATAGTGCATATAAGTTTATGTGAAACACATCGGAAGGCATTGTATCGCGATCACAAAACAATCTTTCATCCCTTGAAAAACACTTGAGGTCTTCCTATTCACTCAAACCCTTCAAGGCCTAGCCTGTGCCGGGTGATGAGCTGCCGGTGCGCCAAATAGGAATTCAGTTGCTGAAGCAGGGCCTGAAGAACAACGGAGTTGGAACGGTTGAAACCATCTGCACACTGACTTGGAAAAGGGCGAGAGAGTGCAAAATCGAGATTCATCACTTTGATGATCTTTGATGCTGATATTCAGTAGCAAGTCTTGACCTGTCCCATCTCTGCTCTGAACCCTTCCTACCCCGCCTGGCTCAGTCAAATCATGCTGGATATTTGGAAGAAAATCGTTGTGAATCACACGGCCTCAGCTGCAAAGGTGACGTGGCGACGTCGAACAACTCACTTGGTACCCATGCAGTAAACAAAGTTGATTTGGTGTAGGCAGTGTAGGCAAGCATCCTCGGCTGGGCTCCCGTTCTCAGCATCTTTGGTGGCCTGTTCAACAGTGGCTTCTAAAGTCTGCACCCTCTGCCAGGGCCCAAACGTGCCACCAAACCTATCCTTCGAGCCCGCAAAGCAGATGTATGATGCAATCAAAAAATGAGAGCTGAAAAAAATGTTTAACAAAGTGCTGAAAGCAAAGTGCTGACGGAAAGTAATGTCAACAGGCGTCAACAGGGATGCGCTTCGGGATGAAGCACAGTGCAGAGACCTATTGATCCATGGGGTCATTGAATGCAGCGGCGCAATAGAGCCAATCAAGAATGTTGAACCACTGTGGCTTCGAACTGAGTTTGTTGTTTGCTTCACGAGCCTTATCAGCCAGTTTAGGAGTGTTTAAGAAAGCAAGATGAATCCAGGCATAGAACGCCACCCAGCCATCTTTTTGAGCAGCTGAAGTTGTGCCAATTTGGGCAGGGTCAAGGGGGTGAAATCGGGATTGGTCCGGCTTTTGTGAAGTGACATCCATATACTGCATCAAGAGCTCAATTTCCAACCAATATGCAGTGCCTATTGCCGCAGCATCGTACAGGTTCATAAGATGCCGATGCCCACTACTACAGGGCATTTCTTCCCTATCTGCTGTAATCACCAGCAAGTGAATGGGGTGAAGAACAAGTGAGGAGACATCGTACTGGCATTGCAGCATTGGCGAACACTGAACGACTCGTCTCGCTTGAGGTCAGAGATAAGCCAGTGCAGAGGTGGTCTCCTGTCTTTGGCTGACAATCAAGTCTTGCTGTGGTCACTGACCACTGAATAGTCTGAATAGTCTGAATATATCTCAACAAACTTCAAGTCTCCCATTCAGCAGAAGCGTTGACAAACTGCAAAGATCTGGAAAGTCACCAATCCAAACAGAGTGAAGGCCAGACCTGATATCTCCGCATCAAGAAAGTGGACAAGCCTGCAGTCCGGAGGGTCTCCTGAGCGATCGCAAACTGTGATCAAACCACTCAAAGCAGCAAAAAGCCATTCTCATTTCAAGACTTTGCCAGAGCTTGGAAAACAGGTGGGGTGTCATTTATCAGACCTTTGTGCGCAGGTGCTTAAGAATCATGGTGTGACAACACCTGAAATGTTCACTGTCAGTATGAAGATGCTGTCGTCTTGACCTCTGTACTCGCCAAAGAACTCGCAGAGTCATCGTGTGAGAGTTTCAAAAGTCCTGTTTTTTTCTAAGTTCCAGGAAAGAAATCAGCACAAAAAGGGCTAGCTGAGTGGGGTTCCGGTACGGTGCGGTGCCCGTAATGCAGGAGAGCATGAGAATTTTGATAGCCTGCCGCAGTGGCAAAGGCCAAGCAATGTGGCCCATGATGGCCCGTGTATTTCTGCTGGAAATTCAAGTAGCGCAGCTCTGCCTTGTTACTTGATCGTGAAGATTACCACACAATTACAAAGTGTACATGATTGTACATGAAGTGTAGAAGAGTTCGATGGCTTATTGCCGTTCTAGAGAGTATAAAAGTGGGTTTCGTGGCCTCAGTGCAACTTTGTCCTTTTTGTTGCAGACAGAACAAAGTGTCCATTTGCTTTCTTCATGAACCACCCTATTTCCGCAGCACGAGATTGCGGAAGCCGATTCAAGCTCTCGGCTCTCACTGATTGAGAGAAAACCATAGACATGGCAGTTAGCTTTGTGATAGTTCCCATCATAATACACTCCTTCTCTCTTTCTTTTCATTTCAGGGACAAATAGCAACAAAATTAGCGCTGAATGCCAAGCTGCCCAGGCTGCCCAAGCTGATCGTATTTGGAACCATTCACTGGCACCCTCCCAGCCAAGTCTTCAAGCTGAGGCGAACCTGGTGAGAGGCCGTTTGACGGGCTCTCGCGCACCATGAAGGGCGAGGCTGGGGCAGGCACCTCAATCGGATGTCCATATCGTGTCCATATCAGATGTTGTCAAAACAGATGCTCATCAAATGTCTATCACGTGTTGTTTCTTTTGAGTGTTTGGAGCTCTCCGCCGAAGTCCCTGGAATCTAGAAAGGTTTCAAGTTCTCTCATCGTGTGCTCCACACGTGGTCGGTCAGTTCTTCTGTCTTTCTGATATGTATTTATGTCTGTGTACATGTATGTATGTACGTGCGAATGTACGTAAACGTACGAAAGTGCATGTAAATGTATGTATATAGATGTGTTTAAATGCATGTAAATGTATCTGAACGTATGTAAATGTATGTAAATGTGCGCAAGTACATGTAAATGATTGTAAATGTGTAGATGTATCTAAATGCATGTGAATGTATGATGATATGTATGTAAATGTATGTCTGAAAATGTATGTAAATGGTTGTAAATGTGTGTGTAAATGTATCTATGTTTGATCTATCTATCTATCTATCCATCTATCTATCTAATTATCTGTCTATTTATCGATCTATCGATCTATCTATCGATCCATCTATCGATCTATGGATCCATATCCATCCATCTATCCATCCATCTATCCATGCATCTATCCATGTAATGATGTATGCATGCATTGTATGTGTATGTGTATGTGTACATGTACATGTACCGATATGCATGCATAAACATATATGTGTATGTGTATGTGCATGTATATGTATATGTATATGTACAAAAATACATATAATATATGTATATATGGTCATGTTATGTCATGTTAATATCAATGGATATGAAATCTGAGTCTGACCTGAAAGGTTTCTTGGCGAATTGCAGGCATTTGGTGACCAGCTAAGAAGAAATTCAGGGCCCCAGCCATGTTTGGTGCGGCAGATGGTGACAGTGCCTTGGACCACTTGGACCACTTGGACTTAATCCAGGAGGGGGCTTCCCAAGGAACAAGGGGCGTGCACATAATATGGACCAAATACGACCAACCTACTGAAGATTTCTGCCAATAAGATAATAGATATGATATGCTTAAATGCCCTTAACCATAAATTCCAAAATTTTAACCAAATCCTCCCTTTTATGCCCCTTATGCAGCCATCAAATCACCTTCATGACTTCCTCATTCCAGACATCCGACCCGCCAGGGTCTTATCCGCAACAGTCCGCATAGACCCCGCATAGACTCAGTTGTGCGCTGTTGGCGATGGGCTGCCAATCGATTGCGCTGTAGACTGCAACAGATCAGGGTTCTGAGGCATCTCTCAACGGTCCATGTGCCGAAAAACTGCCTATCCAAAGCAGATATTCAATGATATTCAGACCTTGAAGCTGCACTCTCCACTTTCGCGGCCCCGGCATTGGACGCTTGAACTCCCCGCAACGTCATTGTCCTCAGTGGGAATTGGTGAGGAGGGGAGGTGGCTTTCCTACTGGAAAATGTACGATGGCAGAGGTCTCTGCTTGCTGCTAAGACCTGGACAAAAAGGCACGAGGATGTTTCAGACTTGATATGACTTGATCATGGAATATATCATGGATACTTATGGATACTTATGGATACTCATGGGCAATCCAAAAGAGGGAAGTTGGGGAGGACTCTGAGATTTTTGCTGGAGAACGAATATACCAGATCTTTTTCTCAAAGGGCACATCACCTCACAATCAGGAGCTGTTTCTGCCTTTTGTACGAGAGCAGATGATAAAGGCTGCTTAAAGAAAAACACAAGTACCGATAGAATTGAAACTCCTCTGCTGCGGTGAGAAGGCTTTGAAGAATATGTTCTGTCCAAGTGCTCATTCCTTTCCACATATGTCCACATCACCGGTCTGGAACACCATTGAACACCCCAGGCATCACCTTCTTAGGATATGCCTGCGAAGGTCGACTCTGCAAATAAACCGGCGAGCAGCAAAGATGCGATGTGTTTTTGAAGATACCTTTCAAGGCCCATGGATTCTGTTATCAAACAACTGGATAACTACCCAGCCAGTAGCAGTGTATAGCCGGTATTGCATGGTATGGCTGGATTATGCTAGATTCAGGGCGCTCCTCTGTCAATCAATTCCTCCTGCATCTGAGCCATTTCGGAACCCATCCTCGCCCGCTGTGTTGCCGTGGTGGATCGGCCGTCCGTACACCTGACAGTTTCCCAATTCTGCAATGCGCGTGGAAATATGATGAAAATAAACGAAATTTACTAAAATATCATAAAAAGAGCTTGAAGATGCTGAAAGATTCGAAGCATCCTACAGCTCTTTGAAGCACTTGGCAGATCCAGCCTGATGCCATGGAGTTCCAAATGCATGCCGCGACCTTGGCACTCGAGTAGCAAAGAAGTTTCCTTTGGAGGCTCAAGGACAGGCGAAAACTGCAGGGACCAATCAAAGACATGAATTTCCAAAACACGATGATGACTCACTTGTCAGCAATTCTGTCTCATTTTGTTACCTTCTCTGAGCCTTCTCTTAGACAAAACTCGAACATCGAAGGAAAGAAAAACATTCACAGTTCTCTACGGCCTTAATACCAAGACCCTGGCATAAGGGCGCGGAATTGCAATCGCAAGATGTGAACTTCAACTGTCAAATGAGATATCTCATATCGCAGTATCGCAGGTTGGTATGAGTTCAAAACTGTCTTGACTGAGTGTGTTTGCTTGAAGCTTCACTGCACTATGAATAGACTGCAGGACAGTTCATGCACAAATGGAGCACATGTGTCGATTCTGCCCAGCTGGAAGATGCGCGGCAAGGACAAAAATGCACGAAGAAAATAGAAAGAGCATTGAGGCTTGCCGAAGCCTAACGATGTTGGTATGCGTCGCTGCGCAACTCTTTCAACTGATGTCACTCCTTTTGCGGGCTTGCTTGTGCTTTCACTCAGGGTTCCGGTTTGCCATCTGCATGAATTGAGTAGAGGGCCTGGCATGTTGCACAAGCTTGCATTGAAATCATTGAAACCACAGTTCCGGAAAAGACATAACTAGAATCATTTGAAATATTTGAAATACTGCTTGAACAAACTACTTATGGATCCGGGGATGTGACCAATGTGACCAGTGTCTATTGCAAGGATCTGCAAGGACACTGCGGCATCTCCCTGCCGCCTCTCTTCATTTGGGCTCGGATTTGACAACCTGCGGACATTTCACTACATCGTACTACATCGTACTGTGTCGGCAAGGGCCTCCATGGGCCTCCATGGGCATCCATGGGCATCCATGGGCATCCGTGGGCATTCAAGGCGTCCATAGGTTTCTTGGGTCACTTCTATGAATGGAGCAATTTGCTGAGCTCTAGGCGTGCCAGGACCAAGGACGCTTTCAAGCAGGGCCTTAATAACTTCAAAAGACTCGAAGACATGTCTAGATATCCCTAGATGAACAAATCTTCCACGTTGGTTTCAGAGAAAGACCTATGGTAGCATCGCAGAGCTTGAGAGAGCTGGTCATGATTCTCACTGCACAATGAGGATCAGACCCGCATCCGTTCGGCCGTTCTGCTTTGTGAGAAACCCACAAAGACATAGGAGCCAATCTGGCAAAAAAGGAGCAGCCAAGTGAAATCACACAAATAGGCAATCCTTGAAGCGGACACTGAATCAATTGCTGCGAAACAATTCTGGCATATCTGGACAACTTGAAACCCATTAAAACCAGGCTCCATTCAAGCGCTTCAATACGGCAGGAGGACCATGATCACAATCATCAGCGCCTTGAAAAGGCAAAAGGTCGAAGTTTGCAAAGTCTGCCGAGCCTGCATTTCTTCCCATGGTGCTGAGCGGAGCGTGCCACAACAACTCGCTTTGGGCTGAAGCGCCGTCCAGTAGACCACCTCAGCCACTGATGGTGGAGTTCTGTTTCTAGAGCGGAAGAGCAACTGTGCACTGTTGAGTACAGCTTCCTTTAGAGTAGGGGAATATTCTGTTGAGAATGGACTGTTGAACGGTTGAACGTCTGGAGAATCTGACCATTGCGGCTGGGTTTAACTGGATTTACATCAGGAGCACCAGCTGGAAACCAATACTCCAGGATCAAACCTTGAGGGAATCATTTTGGATTGGCCAGAGGTATTGAGCTGCATTGCACGGCATCGCTCGCAATTTTCCGCAAGATAAATATACGAAGTTGTTCGTGTCGCTTTGCGACGCGACAGTTAAAACGTGATTGACTGATTGCAATTCAAACACACTCGTAACTCGTAGTCAATCAGAAAGCTTTTGTGGAAAACGCATGTTTAACTGTTTAAAGTTGTGGCTTGATCTTGAAAATCCACAGAAGTGGAATTGGGCTGGTCAGTTGCATTGAACCAGGAGGCGCAGGTGTTGCTGTTTTTGAATTTGTTTCAACAGCTCATTGGCAGTCCCTCCCTTTTTGTTAACTTCCACAATGACATCCCCAACATTCACCGCTCTTAAAGGCCGATCTACATTCCATCCAGCGACCAAGCCATTGGCATCCAGCCCTGAGATCACCAATCCTTGGCCATCCTGTGCTGGTTCGAGAGCCACACCAATGGTCTTCGTCTCCTTCTCAATTTCCATCATCACTATCCTCTGCCCATCACGAATGGTCCATCCATTCAAATTCAATGAGGGCTCAGTCACATCTTCGGCCAGTTCAGTTCTGGATCTACGTCTGTAGGACCTGAAGGCCTCTTTAATCGACGCACTCGGTGCAGTGCCTTCCGAGTCCAGCTGCTCTGGAACATTACATCCGCAGCAGCCCACGAAAAGGCTTCGCACCAGGTCCACCATCGCAACTGCTGTGCGACGTTCTGCGGTAACTTGAGCCTAGGGATGCACCGATCCTTGCTATCTCCCTTCAACGTGCAAGCCCTCCAAGCTCACATATATGTGTATATATATATACATATATATATACATATTTATCTATTTATTTCTATTTTATGCTACAGTAGAAGACAGCCTTCTCAAGAAACAAAGGCACCAAAAGCAATTCCGGTAAGATCCACTTGCTGGCAAACGCATGCTTTCAGATCAGTCCTCGCATCCATTCATAGTCTGTGCAACAAAGGGGATTGACGAGCTTGCATGGATTTGTATATACAATGATATTGCCCTTTTGTTGGGTGTGATATTGATTGTGTGAAATGAAGTGGGTGCTCCAAGTCAAATTTCTGTATGCAGGCGGCATAAATCTGAGAAGTAAACTCACGCGATATTGTTCAAAAACAATCCACCAACGGACCAAGGTGTTCAAGTTGTTGATATCAAAGGCTTATCGAAGGTTCTCTCTGATATGACCCTGCCCTTTGTCCCTCTTGGAGTTGGTCACACTTCTTGAAATTCGATGCCCTCTGCCCAAACGGCATGGGAGTCCGGGCCAGTTTTTGGGATCGCTGCACACGGCGGCCTTGCAAAGGAACAGGGATCAAGTAGATATGCCAGAATTTGGCTCGCCTTATATCCTCAAAATATATATGTCAAAATTGCTTCACAAAAATGCTCTCTAGTCTATTTGCTGTCCATCAATAATTTTCTCATGGCAGTTGCCGCGCCAAGACAAAAAGGTTTCAAGAAATCCAAAATACTTAAATAGACTGCGGGAAAAGAAGTTATTATTACATCGAACAAGTATCAAATTTGGTAAGAAATGTTTGCTGGGAAGCACCCCCCACCAGCCAAAAGCTGAGTCTAAGTGATAAGAAATACAGGATCTACTTGCACTTATGCTTAGTTGTTTACTTTTTTCACGAGCACCGAATACTACTGCCTACTTGCTGACAGAGTTGTTTTTCTCCCCGGAATGGATTCCAAGATCTCTTTGCAGCAAAACAAAACTACCCAAATAAGCTTCGGTGGTATCCCCAACAGCCGCAACGTTTTATTGTTACAAATCTTTCTGAAGCGTGCTGCGAAGCCAAGCGCTGGAAACCCTGTTGAATCTGTTGAACCTGACCTGGCCCTCCACCAAAGATTCCCAAAACCTTTTCCGGGGCCTTCTCTGCAACCTTCTCCGGGAACCTGCTGAACCTGACTTGGCTTTGCACCAAGGCTTCCTGGAACCTTCTCCGGAGCCTTCTCCGGAACCCTGTTGAACCTGACCTGGCTCTGCCTCCTTCTCCGGAACCTTCTTCGGAGCCCTGTTGAACCTGACCTGGCTCTGCACCAAAGCCTCTTGAACCTGACCTGGCTCTGCACCAAAGCCTCCCGGAACTCCCAGCCTTCTCCGGAACCTTCTCCGGAACCCTGTTGAACCTGACCTGGCTCTGCACCAAGCCTCCCAGACCTTCTCCGGAACCTTCTCCGGGACCCTGTTGAACCTGACCTGGCTCTGCACCAAAACCTCCCAGACCTTCTCCGGAGTCTTTTCTGGAACCTTCTCCGGAACCCTGTTGAACCTGACTTGGCTTTGCGCCAAGGCGTCCTGGAACAACCCTGTTGAACTTGACCTGGCTCTGCACCAAAGCCTCCCGGAACCTTCTCCGGAACCTTCTCCAAAACCTCGTTGAACCTGACCCGGCGCCTGCACCAGTGCACACCGGAGCTATTCTGGGCTGAAGACCCCATTAGTTTACGATGTTGGGGAAAAATGAAAAATATGACTTTAATTTGGCAGCCAAGACTTTATCAAGCCTAAAGCGAAGATGAATAAATGTGGAAGAATGTGTGCTCAAGAGCTGGGGTCTTCTAGCATCTCCTGGCTGGGATCGTAAGCATCATGGCTGATTCCCTCTGCGCGCGTGCATCTCCGAAGGACTGATGAACAGCATCAAGAACCAACGACCCAAGTTTGCAACTCCTTCCACAGCTGCGCACCTGCCCCAAGCTCGAAGCATCCCTCATCAGCAAGCTCAGTCAAAAACTTCACTTGACAATAAAAAATCGGACACCCATACTAGGCAGGCTGAGAATCCACGCGCAACGGGCTCTACACCAACCACTCGATTGGCAGCATCAAACGTCACACTAACAGACCTGTCCGAGACGTGACTTCTGCAAAATCAAAGCTCCCAGATATAGACAAAGCATACCCATTTCGCCGCGGCCGCCCAACCAAAAATTAGTTTAAAACATCTTCCGGAAACAAACAAATTCTTGGCCAATCTGGAAAGCTGCCCAAGCTGCTACAGTAAGGCCTGAAAAGTCCGATTCTATCAGAATCTCTGAGAGAGAGAGAGAGAGAACGAGCTTATGTTACACATCATGTTTGCTTGAGGGGGTACATTCACTTGATACTGCACCTGCACTACTACAGCTCAAATGGGGTGGGGTTGGGGTGGGGTATGTGTTGACGTTGAAGCTACGCGCACTTGATGCAAAGCTACAAATGGGTAGGGTTTGGGTGGTACTCGCAAAGATATGCTGTGGGGGAAACAGGCATTGACAAGACTTTCATGACTGGTGAACGTGGAAAAAGACATCGAATGCTGCAAATGTGACACACTTCTTCTGCATTCCCAGAAGGTTCAATGTCCGCACCAATGCCTCTACCCAGAGACCGTGCCGAGTGTTACAGTATCAGCACACTTTCAAAGAGACAAGTCCGCAGAGCTTCCAGAATGCCTGAAGAACGGAAGCCCGAGTACTACAGCCTGGCATGGCAGCTTCCAAATCCATTGCTGCATTGCCTCCTTTGTTGACTTTGTACCATTTTGTACCTACCTCTGTTTGTGTAAGCATGCTTATCATGCTTTTTTAAACCAAAAGGATGGTGGAACTCGATGGAACATGGTGGAATGACTCTGGCAAGCTATGGTTTAAGCTCACAGCGCCTCCATATCAAAGATGGTGTGGTGCCTCAGTCGTGCTGCGGTCAAGAAGCAGCATATACGAACTTCAACAGGGTCTGTATAATTCTGTACAATTCCATAGTTCCAGTGATGGCTAGAAAGGCCGAAGCCTGTAAGCATAGGTCACTCCTTTTGGATACCCAGAAATTGGGTTGCGCACTCTCCGCCATTGACAATTGCCAGCTCGCACCAATCTGATTTGGTTTGGCTCTTTGTGACCTTTGGCACTGGCGTAAAATCGAACACATCGCCACATGGGCAGTTGTCAAAATGTCGGTTGCCGGAAGCGGTACTATTTCGTGTTCTTGTGGAGGTTTGTGTGTCTTTCGTTCAAAGGATCTATAGTTTAGATGAGTGAATTCATCAAAGGTGTTGAAATGGCTGCAGGGATCTGCAGGGTCACTGGTGCGTCTTTTGACTCTTGTTTGTGCTCCAGAACCATCAGCATGTGTTCGGCATGGCTCAGGTCCATTTCTGCTAGCGCACTGCTAGGGCGGCACTAGCACAAAAAACGCATTGAAATGTTGAAAGCTGATTGCGAATGAAAGAAATTAGCGCTGAGCTAGCGTGAGACTAGCGCTGTGATTGGAATTTGTTTGACTTAGGCGGGGGTCATACCGAACTTCATACCGAATATTAAACAAGTCAGTATATCCGTTTCAAAAAGTACCGCAGCCATGCCATTGCAGCCAAGCAGCGTAAGCACTCGGCGGGACACAAACGATGATGTCTGCGCCACTGTCAAGGCCAAGAACGTAGAAGGCAGCAACAGTCTCAGGGCCGCAATCAAAATGCAGGGCAGAAACGAGCGTCAAATTGCCAAGGGAAATTGTATGAAAATGTATGAAATGAATATTGAAATGGTATGGAAATGCCATGCCTCGAACTTTAGATCCAATTGGGGACTTGCGTTCCAAGTATTGCTGTGAACAAGTGCCATGAGCTGCCACATATGCCTCCAAGCTCATGGAGAGGGTTGGAAGCTCTTCCTTCGCATGTTTGACTCAGGCGATGCCCCGTGGATCCCCCATGGCCCAGAATCAGTGTCAGCCATAGAGATCAAAAAAAAGAAAACAACAGACACATAACAACTCAACCGCGCTCACAATTCTCTTCCACTGCGATCAAGGCGTATGATCCTTGTGCAGAGAGCTTGTGACCATGTCCCAGGCCAGTGCAGACTTTGCACTTTGTCATCAGCGCATGTGCTGTCCTTGTCCTTGCAAGGGCAGCCTATGGCACCAGCATCTTGCCTGCAGCCTCTGTTGCAAGTAGTGCCATGTGCTTCCGGAAAAATGTAGCAGCTGTCGTGGCTGTGCAGTCGCAAAAGGTCTGCAACTGAGTTGACAAACCGTTTGGCATACCCAGCATGATCCGCTCCCAAATACCAGCACCTGAGATTGTTTGAAGGCTAAGAGGCCACAATCGATTGTGAAATGGATCGACAAAGACTTTAAAGAAGCTTCGGCAGAACAAACGGCATCTTCCATTGCCGAACATTTGCAGCCCAGTGCTCAATGTGAGCCACCGCCTCTGGTGGGTTCATGGACAAGAATGCCAACGACTTGGTCCCTTGCCAACTCGGATTGCACCAGCACCTACACAACAAACAGTCATCAAGTAGAATCAAGCAGAAGGAGATGAAAGATGATAAAAATAATATAAAAAGTCTACGGTCGAATAGCTGAGTAGCATCTCGTCAAGGTGTGCTCTCAGCTGCCGTTTTATCAGGTCTCCTTGGGTCGCATGTGTTAAAGATATAAGTCTGACTCTCGTGTCTTGCCTTGCCTGAGTCAAGCAAAGCTGCTGCTCCGAACGGAAAAGCCTAGTCAGGGTTGCGGGTCACGAAGTGTTGCAGCTCCGGAAGCGTATGTAGAGTCCGTAACCTTGCTTGTACTTCCCTTGTCATCTTAAGAACTGAAGCGCAGGCTGTCTACATAACTCCTGCGATAGGAGACCCTAAGCGCAGGACGTAATTGAAATCAAAGCTCATCCGCAAAGATGGACTTTCCTCCAGGGAAAAAGTTATCACGTTGCAAACCATGCGTCATGTCGGCAACGCTCAAGAGTCAAAACAATGGCCCCACAACAGCGTATGGACTGGAATTGAAAATTAAAATGAAAATAAACATGGACATCAATGAAACCACTTTCAAAACTCCCAATCTACATGATGTCCCAACAGCCCTGGAGCTTAGCTGTGGAAGGCCGCCTTTCCGTAGCTCAAACCAATTGCACGCATCGAGACATACCTTGTCGGGAACTGCGCTTCTGGGCGACATGGGTTCCTTCCGAGGATAGGTTGCTTGCTTTGAATTTCAAGCGCGAAAAAAGAGACAACGCACTTCTGTTACAAGTAGTCAAAGGATGTCAAAGGTGTCTTCAGGGACTGGGCAAATGTGGCAAGTGGTGTCGAATGTTCTCCCAATGAGCGAGTCAGCTGCTTTCGGGACACAATGGGAACTAATTGCTAGCATTGGCATATCTCCCCCAAAGAAAAAACATAACAACCATGCATGTCATCCCATTTCAACGCAGCAATGGTACCTAACTTGAAAACTCCAAACCAATTCCGCCCACAGCCCAATGCCAAGGCAGCTTACCAGTTCGCCACCGGAAGCCGCGTCAAAGTGGGCAGGAAGGTGATCTCAGCGAGAGTCTGAAAGAAGCTCATGCGGACATTCACTGAATCAATTGACAAGTTGTCACAAGCGAAGAAGCGGAAGAAGCGCTAACAGCCGCTAACATGCAAAGCTACTGCTTTCTTTGGCTTGTTTGCGAAAACATCCGTTGCCTGACTTCACGTCACTGATTCTCTCTGCTTCACAACAAGAAGCTGCCCTGTATCCCTGTTATCCCGCTGTCATCCGCTGCCCCGCCATCCTCTTCCTTTTTCGGAGCATCCAAAGACCACTTGAACAAATCTTGAATACACTTTCCACGTCTTTCCAATTCCAAGGCCCTGACTTCACTTGATTCACTCCGCGAAGACTCACTGCTTGGCACACCAAGCCACAGCTGAGGACTGCAACAACAGGAGGTTTGGACAGTTCCCAGCAGTGAGGTTGATTTTAGACCCAAAGGGCCTTTACTCAAGGAGTTCAAACACAAAATCCTTCTGTTCTTTTGGTTAGCACTCCTGCGAAAAGCTGGATTTCGTTTCACTCCCGAACTTGAGTTCCTTCAAATCTACTGGAAGCTTTCAAATTACAGTAATTCCCTGTAGTGTGTAGGATAGTCTTGCTTGCTAGACTCGCATATTTTCTGCAAGTTCATCGTGTACATAATAAAATGACTCCTTGTTGTCACAAAAAATTCTGGAAATAAATGAAATTAAATGAAATGCAGGCTGCACAGGACAATACACATGCTGGAAACCCCTGGCTGCGCTAGTATCGCCTTGGTCGCCCCAAGTCCAAGCGATAGGTTTTAGGAACCTGCGTTCGGCAGGAATTTCGAGGTAGGACGGCTGAGTTCCTTTTTCTTTTGCGTGAACTTATGTGTTAGTTGTCAAGGATTTGTATGTTGCACCGGTGTTGTACCTATGAAGATTTCTCAAGATGGTCATGGCAAGGAGCGACTTATCAACTGCAGCACACTGCCACAACATCTACTCTCAGTCCCAGTATGCATGTCTGCAGGGCCTGCGGGTTTGCATTCCACAAAGCCGTCAAGATGCTGCTCTTCGCATCGACATCCTCAGGGGAGAAGGAGTGTTTGTGTAGCCATTTAATTTCTGCAATTGGAACGTGCTGTTCTTTATTTATATATCCTTTGTTTGAAGGGCCACGGGTGCACACTTTAGTGGCTTTCCCTCGGTCTTTGTTGTCCTCATCCTTTTTTCTGAAGAATTTGAAGAACCAGGTCTCTGCAGCTGCCTGCAGCGGAAAGCTGTGAAACAAAAGACAACAGCTGGACCATGGCCAATTTTCCACGCATTTCCACACGCAATTACAGGAAAAACGATAAACTTGCATCCATCTGAGAGGTTTCCAAACATTCCAAAGTGTGCCTCTGGAAAAGTATTGTTTAGCAACGATCAGTATTGTCACAAATTCGACAAGAAAAGAAGCTGACAAGATCTGACAATTATGCTGACCTTCTGGTTCTCCGTTACGAGTCCCAAGAGACCCTCTCCTGGGACAGGAAAGTGACAGATTACCACAGCTTGTCCTGATTCCCATGTCTTGTCCATGGAAAGGCCCAACAGCAGAATGTGTGCTCATTTATTAACACTTACAGGACTTTTGCAGTTGCATATAGATCATATAGTTGGATGCTCTTTCTGACTCTTTCCTTCCTTCGTTCCAAAAGACTGAACTCACTCACCTCCTTACCTATTTAATCGGCGAGGAAGTGTCACAATGCGTCATAGGAAACTCTCTGAATCGAGTTAGCTGCTTTGCAATTCTTTGCTTTAGCTGGTGAAGGGGGTAATGGGATAAATCTGCTAGATACTCTTGATCTCCAATCGAACTATCAAGGAGCATGATGATCTCAAGATTCTCCTGAAGAATGATTGGAAGAAAGGTTTTGCGCCAGCACGATGCTTGCACTCGGAACCTGCTGTCAACTTTCAGAGAGACAATTCCCTTAACAGAGTACCATGTCGACCCTGGAATCTTGAGACCCAGGGCGAAATCGTTCTCTCAATTCAAAACGCCTGTCAGCTTCACCTTTCCATACCTTTCCAGAACCCAGAGACAGTCACTGCCCCTCGCACGCTGACGGTCACTTTTCCCCAGCTCGTATCACATTAGCTTTTGGCGGTACTTGAACTCCAACACCTTGGGCAGACAGGAACTGCAATCAGTTTCTGATACAAAGCAGCTTCCTTCATGCTGCTGCACAGGGAGGTGGCTTGCCAATCCAAGTTAAGAAACTGCATTCCGATTCGTTGACTACAAAGAGCAACAGGGGCGAATGAACTGCATTTTGCAGAGCGGCATAGTTCAAGGAGCTGCTGAGACTAGTAGGAGGACCAGCAAACAGAGCCTGTTCGTTAGCCTGTTTATCTCCCACAATGTTCATTCACGACATGAGAACCTTCTCGCCGCATGAGCGAAATAGATGGCGAGACAGTCCTCCCAATTGTCGAATTTCCGGGCTGAGTCTCCGTGCACATGATCTGGCAGCTTGCTTTGCGCAGCTTCCCAAACTGATGGCAGGAAGTAAGCCTCTGCATTTCAGAGCTGATCTGGGAGACGGTCAATGGATGTCAATTAGCTATTTGATGACCAAGCAGTCGCACAAGCAAAGTAACCAATTCTAGCATGGCTCTTGCAGGTGGTTTAGTTTAGTTTGTTCATATCTACCAGTCAGTTTGATCCTTTCAATCTTCAAACTAGAAACCATGAGTCATGGGAGGTGAAAACTGTTCACATCTTATACTGTAACTGTCTTCTCAGGAACATAAAAAACGCGAAAAGAGCAGAAAGGAGCTCTGTTCTGATTGTTCTTGAGGCTGGGACAGAAGCATCCTCGGTCTCTGCATATGCAGAGACGCTTGCCCCTTCCACCTGGCGCACGTCTGGAGCGATAGCAGAATCACGCCACCGGTCAGTATTTGTCGGGTCGCTTGGGCTGACATCTTTGTCGCCCTAGTCCCTCGTCCCACTTGTCCCACTTGTCCCGTTGGAGAGCCGCACACTTTCTCTCAAGGCCTGAATATTTTGGGGGCAAGAACGAGCACTGGTTTTTGACACAGTCCTCGTCACAGGTTCTGTAGCGAGCATCTCAAAATCATAACACGTACATGAGTTTGTGTGGGGTCAGTACCAAATCCGAGGCAAAGCCATCCCTAAGCATCCAGAACCTATTCTGATTCATGCGGTCGCAGATCTGATAAGCACTTTCTGGTGTGATGGTAAATTCATCATCGCTATGATCCACCGAACTGTGGCATTGGTTGAGGACCCACCTTTCCTTAATTCCCCCCGCGCTGACAGAGGCCAGAGTCATCAGCTCTGCAGGGAGTCGCGCAGAAGCCTGACCAATGATGCGGAAAGATGTGTCACAATAAATAATATATCAGCGTTGACCCCAAACAGATGTAGGAAAACAAGAGCCATGCATAACAACAGGAAGATACAGCATGTTGGAAGACAAGTGCAAGCGTGGAAGACAAGTGATAAACAAGTGGGACCAGCATGCGACCGACAGCGCCTAGAGCCTAGTGAAAGACAAGTGGGCAAGGCCACCCAAAGCGTAGCGGGAGACAAGTGGGGACAAAAGTGGGGCAACAAATTGGGGGATAAGTGGCAACAAGTGGGAGATAGTGGGAGACAAGTTAACACCACATGGCCCAAAGCACCCACAGTGGGAAGCAAGTGGGAGACAAGTTACAATCACATGGCACAGAGGTAGAGAGGGAAGCAAGTGGGAGACAAGTGGGAGACAAGTGGGAGACAAGTTAACACCACATGGCCCAAAGCACCCAGAGTGGGAAGCAAGTGGGAAGCAAGTGGGAGACAAGTTAAAATCACATGGCCCAGAGAACCCAGGAGCAAGTGGGGGACAAGTGGGAAACAAGTCGCAATTACATGGCCCAGGGCGCCCAGACAGAGTGGCAAGCAAGTGGGAGACAAGTGGGAGACAAGTTAAAGCCACATGGCACCCAGAGTGGGAAGCAAGTGGCAGACAAGCGGGAGACAAGTTAAAATCACATGGCCCAGAGCACCCAGAGTGGGAAGCAAGTGGGACAAGTGGGAGACAAGTTAAAGTCACATAGCCCAGAGCACCAGAGTGGGAAGCATGTGGGAGACAAGTGGGACAAGTTAAAGTCACATGGCCCAGAGCACCCAGAGTGGGAAGCCAGTGGGAAACAAGCGGGGGACAAGTTGCAATCATATAGCCCAGAGCAGCCAGAGTGGGAGCAATTGGGAGACAAGTGGGAGACAAGTTAAAATCACATGGCCTAGGGGAAATGAGAGTCGGAAGCAAGTGGGAGGCAAGTTAAAATCACATGACCCAGAGCACCCAGAGTGGAAGCAAGTGGGAGACAAGCGAGAGACAAGTGGGAGACAAGTTACAATCACATGGCCCAGAGCACCCAGACTGGGAGCAAGTGGGACAAGTGGGAGACAAGTTAAAGTCACATAGCCCAGAGCACCAGAGTGGGAAGCATGTGGGAGACAAGTGGGACAAGTTAAAGTCACATGGCCCAGAGCACCCAGAGTGGGAAGCCAGTGGGAAACAAGCGGGGGACAAGTTGCAATCATATAGCCCAGAGCAGCCAGAGTGGGAGCAATTGGGAGACAAGTGGGAGACAAGTTAAAATCACATGGCCTAGGGGAAATGAGAGTCGGAAGCAAGTGGGAGGCAAGTTAAAATCACATGACCCAGAGCACCCAGAGTGGAAGCAAGTGGGAGACAAGCGAGAGACAAGTGGGAGACAAGTTACAATCACATGGCCCAGAGCACCCAGACTGGGAGCATGTGGGAGACAAGTGGGAGAGAAGTTAAAATCACATGGCCCAGAGCAGCCAGAGTGGGAAGCAAGTGGGAGACAAGTTAAAATCACATGGCCCAAAGCACCCAGAGTGGGAAGCAAGTGGGACAAGTGGGAGACAAGTTAAAGTCAAAGTCACATGGCCCAGGGCACCGAAGCAAGTGGGAGACAAGTGGGAGACAAGTTAAAGTCACATAGCCCAGAGCACCAGAGTGGGAAGCAAGTGGGAAGTAAGTGGGAGACAAGTTAAAGTCACATGGCCCAGAGCACCCAGAGTGGGAAGCCAGTAGCAAACAAGTGGGAGACAACTTACAAGCACATGGCCCAGAGCACCCAGAGTGGGGGCAAGTGGGAGACAAGTTAAGATCACATGGCCCAGAGCACCCAGGGTGGGAAGCAAGCGGGAGGCAATTGGGAGACAAGTGGGAGAGAAGTTAAAATCACGTGGCCAAGGGGCCAAGAGCACCCAGGGTGGGAAGCAAGGAACAAGTGGGAGACAAGTTAAGAATCACATGGCCCAGAGCACCCAGAGCGGGAAGCAAGTGGGAGACAATCAAAATCATGAGGCGCAGGTAAACCTGCTTGGGGAAAAACTAAAGAACAAAAACAATGATCTAGCAATTTTCAGGACTAACCAACCAATAAATTTTGGGGATACAATTTTGAACCTTTGCGCTTGCAAATGGCGCAAATAGATTCAGAACTGATTTCCTTTTCTTGTGCCAGACTGTGCCCAAAAAAAAAGTTTTGGATGCTTGGAAATGCAGTGGACCTAACTCCAGCAGTACCCAAGTGGACGATAGACCCAATACAGCCAATCCAGTGGTTCCTCCTGCAATCGAGCGATCTGGGCTTCCACGTCAAGGTCAGTATCATCCGTGGCCGGACACTGTGCCTGCTGCTGAACTGGCCAAAAACAAGGGAAACGAACGGAGGATAAAATCCTGAGCCCCTTGGTCCCCACTCCAATCTCGACTAACCCTTCAATTCAAATTGCAGCGGATCCAGCGCTGCCTCAAACCAATCAGTTGCGGTTCTCACCTGAAACATCGAGCATCAGCGCCAATGTCAGCAGAAATAATCAAAGAAAGTTTAGTCAGAAAACTTCCGAGCTAAGGACGATTGTCATGGTCAGCATTTCCACCATCATGTCAACCACACCATCATGTCCATCACCCATCATCAAGTAGTTGGGAAGTGCAGCAGTTCGGAAGCGTGAGAATTCACGGATGAAAACACTCAGGCGCAAAACCCTGTGTTTTGTTCGGGTAATGTGGCTTCTGGGGTCATGATAGTAGGGTCTCTTTGCAGTTCAAAATGTCGAAAAACTGAGGCGTTCGGAGCACTTTTGGAAGATGAGGTCGGCAAAACTTGCAAAATTTGTACAAGACTGTAGCGGGAGCATGCGGGAGCTCGATTTCACAAGAAAAAAACGCACAAAAATGAGGTGCGCAGACTAGCGCCGGATTTGTGCAGTCGAGTCCCCATTGGTCGATTTCGTGTGACGCTCCTGCTATTCGGGTTTGCAGCCGGCTGTGAGTGATGTTGCGACGCTCCTGGCAAGCGGGATTGCAGCTGGAGGTTGCTAAACACAATGTAACACCTGCGCGTAACTCTTGGCTATGGACCATAGTGCTACTCCTGCGATGTGCGGCATTGCAGCTGGAGGCTGCTAAAGGCATAGTAACAGGTGCGCGAAGAGAAGACTTAGGTTGCAGAAGCTACAAAAGAGCCAGCTGATAGGCAGCTCACGTCAGAAGTAGCCCAGATCAGTAGCTGCTCAGAGAAGAAGTAGCTGAGAAAAGAGGTGCCTCAGCGAAGAGGGCGGTCAGTGAAGCTCAAGGAAAAGGAGCTCGCCCATCCATCCATTCATCCATCCATCCTTTCACTCATTGCTTCATTGACCCATGGATTCATGGATTCATCAATTCACTTATTCACTAGTTCACTCGTGCATTGCTTCATTGATTCACTGAATCACCGATTCACTGAGCCATTGATTCACTTATTCATCGTTTCATTGATTCATCGGTCCACTGCTTCATTGATTCACTGATTCACTGATTCTTTCATTCATGAATTCACTGATTCATTCAATCATTCATTCATTCACTCACTCATTCATTCATTTCAAATCATATCATAAGTTATCATATCATATCATACCATTTCATCTCATTTCATTTCCATTCATGCATTCATGCATTGATGCATTCATTCATTCCATTTCATTCCGTTTCATTCCACTCCATTCCTTTCAAGTTCATTTCTTTCATTCATTTGTTTCATTCATTCATTCATTCATTCATTTCATTTCATTTCATTTCATTTCATTCATTTCATTCATTCATTCATTTCATTTCATTCATTTTATTCATTTATTTCATGCATTCATTCATTCATTCATTCATTTCATTCATTCATTCATTTCAATTCATTCATTCATTCATTTCATTTCATTTCATTTCAATTCATTCATTCATTCATTCATTTCATTCATTCATTCATTCATTCGTTCATTCATTCATTCATTCACTCATTCATTCATTCATTCATTCATTTCATTCATTCATTCATTCATTCATTCATTCATTCATTCATTTCATTCATTCATTCATTCATTCATTCACTCATTTCATTTCATTTCATTTCATTTCATTCATTCATTCATTTCATTTCATTTCATTTCATTCATTCATTCATTTCATTTCATTTCATTTCATTTCATTCATTTCATTCATTCATTCATTCATTCATTCATTCATTTCATTCATTCATTCATTCATTCATTCATTTTATTCATTCATTCATTCATTCATTCATTCATTTCATTCATTCATTCATTCATTCATTTCATTCATTCATTCATTCATTCATTTCATTTCATTTCATTTCATTTCATTTGATTTCGTTCATTCATTCATTTTTTCTTTCATTCATTCATTCATTCATTCAGTCATTCATTCATTCATTCATCCATTCATTCATTCATTCATTCATTTCATTTCATTTCATTTCATTTCATTTCATTGCATTCATTCATTCATTCATTCATTCATTTCGTTCATTCATTCATTTTTTCTTTCATTCATTCATCCATTCATTCATTCATTCAGTCACTCTTTCATTCATTCATTCATTCATTCATTTCATTCATTCATTTCATTCATTCATTCCATTCATTCATTCATTCATTCATTCATTTCATTCATTCATTCATTCATTCATTCATTCATTCATTCATTCATTCATTTCATTCCTTCACTCATTCATTTCATTCATTCATTTCATTCATTCATTTCATTTCATTTCATGTCATGTCATGTCATGTCATTTCATTTCATTCATTTCATTCATTTCATTCATTTCATTCATTTCATTCATTTCATTCAATTCATTCATTCATTTCATTCATTTCATTCATTTCATTCATTTCATTCATTCATTCATTCATTCATTCATTCATTTTATTCATTCATTCATTTTATTCATTCATTCATTCATTCATTCATTTCATTCATTCATTCATTCATTCATTCATTCATTTCATTCATTCATTCATTCATTCATTCATTCATTCATTCATTTCATTCTTTCATTCATTCATTCATTCATTCATTTCATTCATTCATTCATTCATTCATTCATTTCATTTCATTTCATTTGATTTCATTCATTCATTCATTTTTTCTTTCATTCATTCATTCATTTATTCATTCATTCATTTCATTTCATTTCATTTCATTTCATTTCATTGCATTCATTCATTCATTCATTCATTTATTTATTCATTCAGTCATTCATTCCATTCATTTCATTCAATTCATTCATTTCATTCATTTCATTCATTTCATTCATTTCATTCATTTCATTCATTTCATTCATTTCATTCATTCATTCATGCATCTCATTCATTCATTCATTCATTCCATTCCATTCCATTCCATTCCATTTCATTTCATTTCATTTCATTCATTCATTAATTCATTCATTCATTCATTCATTTCATTCATTCATTCATTCATTTCATTCCTTCATTCATTCATTTCATTCATTCATTTCATTCATTCATTTCATTTCATTTCATTTCATGTCATGTCATGTCATGTCATTTCGTTTCATTCATTCATCCATTCATTCATTCATTCATTCATTTCATTCATTTCATTCATTTCATTCATTCATTCATTTCATTCATTTATTTCATTCATTCATTTCATTCATTCATTTCATTCATTCATTTCATTCATTCATTCATTCATGCATGCATGCATTCATTCATTCAATTCATTTAATCATTTCATTTCATTTCATTCATTTCATGCATTCATTCATTTCATTCATTAATTTCATTCATTAATTCCATTCATTTCATTAATTTCATGAATTTCATTCATTCATTCATTCATTCATTCATTTCATTTCATTTTTGTTCATTTCATTTCAATTCATTCATTTCATGCATTCATTCATTTCATTCATTAATTTCATTCATTCATTCATTCATTCATTCATTCATTCATTCATTCACTTCGTATCATTTCATTCCAGTCCATTCCAGTCCATTCCATCTTGTTTCATGTCATTTCATTTCAATCAATTCGGTTCAATTCAGTTCAATTCATTTCATCCGTTCATGTCATTTATTCATTCATTCATTTCAATTCATTCATTTCATTTCATTACATTACAATTTCATTTCATTACATTACATGTTCATTTTATTCATTCAGTCATTCATTCATTCATTTCATTCAATTCATACATTTCATTTATTTCATTCATTTCATTTCAGTCATGTCACGTCATTTCATTCAATTCATTCATGCATTCATCCATTTCATTGATTCACTGTTTCATTGATTCATTGATTCATTTGATTCATCGGCTCACTGAACCAATCATGTATTGATTAATTGAATCGTCGTTTCATTGCTTCATTGATTCACCAATTCAATGGTCCACTGGTTGGTTGATTCATTGAGTCATTGCTTCATTGATTCACTGATTCAATTATTCAATGGTTCAACGGTTCACTGGTTCATTGGTTCATTCACTCAGTTATGCACGGATTCTTTCATGTCATTTCATTGGCATCTAACCACCACGTCCTCATTCGTTGATGCATTTCACAACTTCAACCGCTCATGGCTTCTGCATCTCCAAGACGTTCCTATAGACTATTGATTTCCTATAGTCATCTCCTATTTTCGAAACTTCCGCCCCGGCGCGGGCCGGGCACTAACTGGTACCTATGACTCATCATGAGAGTGACTTAGTAAAACTATGGGATTATATTATAATATATTGAACTATATAATATACAGTACATATATATATATATATATATGTCCTTGACCCAGCACGCCGAAGCTGCACTGAGCATCGCGGCATGCATCAAGGGAGGGCCAAGCTCAGGATCAGCTTCCAGCTGGGTAAACCTCAACCACTAAATGCTCGAAGCCTTCGATGCCAAGTGTAACACAGCATAGATGGACCATACCATGGTGCCATCGATGAGAAGATATTAGATATTCGAACATTCGAGGATGTCAACATATGTCAATTGCATGTCAGAGACCCCAGCTGTGGTGGATAGTTCTTTTGCAAAGCGTAGACCAACTGGGTGTTCGTGGACCTGGCCATCAGCTGTCATTCGAGGTATTGTCAAAACGTCTGTGAAGGAGATGCCCTCACCTTTGGTCAAACCGTCAAACCGTCAAACCTTCTACAGGAGCAGCTCGGAGCAACACATAGGAGATGTCCTATTCTTCCTCCGAAACTGTGATGGACGTCTGTTCCTTGTTCTGCTCCTGAGGTGTCTGTTTATCACCCAACATGAGAATGGTTCGCTGGCCATGTTTACTCAACACATGGCAGAACTGCACTCGGGGCATGCGCAAGCAACTCGATACCAACCTGGAAAGAAAAGCAGGCATTGCAGCCCTCCATTTTGCAAAGTTTGTTGGGTTCATCGTGAGGAACAAGATTGGACTAATTCAAGGCCAAGTTGGGGGATTCCGAATTGTGTCACACTGCTCACCCGCCTAGTCATTTCATGTCATTTCTGCAACAACACTATCACACCACTGGAAAGACCGCGTGTCAGTGCCTCAGCAAGGATGTCAACAAGGATCGCACCATCCTGTGGCTAAGACTGTGGGCTTCCTCCATTGATGTCCAGAGTGGGACAGTGCTCGTTTGACTGCAAAGGATAATAGTCTTAAGTCTTAATAGTCTAGCAGAAGCATTATTATGGTGAATATCAGTATGAATTTGAAGGGATCCTGATGGAACGATGCTAGTGTGTCTAATCCAGGCATTGCAACGACCTGTCTTTACTATCTTTTAAAATTTAACACTGCGTCAGAGCCCTTGTTTTGATTTCTATGTGCATGAGTTTGCCTTTAGCGCAGGAATTTGAGGACCTTTGGATCACCAATCGACCAATCACCGTCCTTGAGCGATGCATTTCGGCTGCCTCCCCGAGGCTGGGCTGGCGAGAAGGACCTCCGTTCCGCAGCTTCACTGCGTTGCGTGCCAGGAGTCCAGCGACCTTCGACATCTGCGACACGCGGAAGTGCAGTAAACTCAGTTTATTTCTGAGAGACCTGGGTAAAGAGAAATTCTATCCACAATAAATTATTCATATATCATATATATATATATGTATATGTATATATATATATATACAACAAAAACTATATTTCTGTGCATATCAGGCACATCATAAAAAGAGCGCGTAGCCCATTATATATATAGCGTATATACAGAGGTCTGAGGTTGACACATCTTCAGTCTGAAGTCTGAAAGCCCCCTATGTTTTCTTGTAGCTCAGAACAATTCTCCGATGGAAATGTCTGCCCAAGCAATACTATTCTGATCCATTTTGTCCGCTAGAATAGGACACATTTGGCAGATGCCCACCTCGAGCATTCGGTTGGCAGTGTGCCAGTGCACATGCTCTACGCCATGGGCTGCTAGGTTGCCCAAGATTGCCGCAACTGTTCGATTAAAGAACCTCAAACCAGGACATGATGTACTGCACGTTGCCATCAAACAAGGTAATGGATGTAAGATGATAAGGGATCATCAGTGCGGTCTTTTAGTCAAGCTAGATTCTGAGAACCAAACCAAACATAACCAAACATAACCAAACTAGATTGTGGGTATTTGTGAGGAGTGAGGACAGGCGCTTAGAACACTCCATCAAGATGCATCAAGATGACCCCGGGCAGCGACGATGCGACCTGACTTCACTGAGATAGCAGCGAGTCTCGGCAAGCTCCGAAGTTCCAATGTCCCTGCAGCTGGAACGAAATGGACGAGACAGGATTGTGACAAAGACAAACAAAGACTATGGCGATTATGATCTAAAATCATAGATGTTAGATGTGGTGCCACAGAACACCAACCAGTGAAGTGCAAAGTGTGAATTGTGCAATGGTGAAGCAAGTAGTGTGTGATCAAGTAGGACTTGCATTGTCGACCAAGAGACAGCAATCACTCAGAGGCAGCAAAGACCACTGAGAGTTGAGCAAGCCGCAGAATCACCACAATCAGCAGGGACGACAAGGAAATCTCCTTGACTGACCTGCAAAATCTCATCCAACTCAACAGCACTGAAATCGCAAACTCAGCTTCGCCCTTTCACGGCATAAGTCGCCATTGCACCATTGGTTTCCAGCTCCTGCAAAATATGTTTGATAAAAACGGTAACAATTCATCAAACCATGCACCTCTGCGATGCACCCAGAACAGTACGGGCATCCAGTAGCTTCACATCAGACATTTGTTCGCAGAAACCTGCGTCTCCTGCAGGAATTAAAAAGGCAGGTCCCGAAAGAAAACTTCAAACAATTAAAATTCAAGATGACTCAAAAAGGCAAAACAGCAAAATTTCAAGATCAAATACACAGCCAATGGATCGGTCTCACTAGTTTTGGTATGCTGGGGTATGGATCGCCTGTGGGTTTGAAACCTTGATCAGGACCTAAAGTTTTGAGTCGCAGCCATTTGCGCTTTGTGACAGTCCAGCATGGAGCGCTTAAAGGACACATAAGAAGAATATCTTGCCACGACATCTTTGGGCATTTCCTTTCCGCTTTGCGGCACTAAACCTTTCCACTCCTGTTAAGGCCAGTACAGCCAGCAGCATGCCCATAACTCCCGCTGGGGCCTTTGCCTCGCAAGTTGTGCACTATGCATCACTATGCCAGAGTGCGCTGACTGGTGTAGCAGAAGTGTTGCTTCAGAAACGAAGTTGGCCTATTGAGGCAGGATCAATGTCTATGCTCATCAATAATTACCCACGAATCATCCATCTGATTTCAAGATTGCTGTTAGCCACGAGGTGTGCATTGTACATATGACTGAGGACAGCACCAAGATCTTATTCTCAGTTGTTGACACATTGTTCAACACCTCCAGAAGTGCCGGCAATACCTCGCTCAGAACAGCCAGAACAGGCGAAATGCACCAAAGACATCCTGTGGGGTGCACATGCTATATCATCCCCACGTGAAGCATAGCGATATTGATATAGAGATCTATTACGATCTACCGGCTACACAGCCATACTCTATTTTGCTGAGAGGTGTCTATATCATCATCCAATAGCGTCTCGAAGACAATCCTGGGAAAGTGTTGTATCAGCTTAAAGACAAAGAAATGAAACCTGGGTCTGGCCTTGTCTGCATTGCGTTGACAGTATCTCCGGAAGCTGGCATTCTTGATCACTAGACAATACAGCAGCAATGGATATCCAGGCTCCTGCAAGGCGCAGCAAACTAATCCAAAGCAAAAGTCTGCTGAAGCATCATGAAGCATCTAAAGATGCACCAAGCATCACTGGTAGATTCAGCCGTAAAAATTCCAGGATTGCTGCTATACTTGACCCGTCCAGTAGCTTCTGCAGGATCACCCGCAGGATCTTTGGAAAGTGTAACGGAGCTGTGATCGTTGCATAGGCCGCCTTGGGCAAAGCCCCTGAAATACCACCAGTATCCATCAGTCAATAATTCCACGAAGACTTTAGTTAGGGATGAACAAAACAATCAGGGCAAAGTTTTTGTACCGCAATGTTGCGGTGTCAAGTGCGGCATTTTTCGTCCTTACACAAACCGCATCTGTCATGGCTGCTAGAATAAGGCCATCTAGCTGTGTTTGGGGCTGAGTCCCTCACTGAATTGGACGAATCGAATCTGGGATCTGTCAGTGATGCAAAAGCCATCGTGATCTTCGCATTTGCCTGAGGCACGGGTCCCGATACGGCCCAATGACACCAAGATACACTAAGCTTGGTTGTTCGCATGTAGCGTTTGAATGAGTTGCCATGTGTGTGATGCCTATACCTCCAATCCTGGCCTGTGGATTGTAGAAGACCAGGAGAAGCAACACCTCAACACCAATTCTGATGGAAGTCCATGTGGCCATCAGTATCACGTTGTTTATCCAAACTCGTCGCATCGACAAAAGCTGTCTCTGACATTCTCTGACATTCTCTGACATCACTTCTCCAGGGCTTACTTGTCAAGCTACCAGCAGGGCTCGTTTGGAGATGGCTTTGCCAGCCATGCCAGCTTCAACCGCTGCCTACACGGCCCAAACAATGCTCCAATGGCAAGGGGCGTTCAACACTTGTGAGAGGTGACACAGTGTCTAGAAAGTTACAATCTCAAGTGTCTTCCATCGAACGGAGATCTCTGCACATATACATTTGAACTGAGCCCCTGCTGATTCAATCTTAACCTCCATCTACACGAATTACATCCCACTCAGAAAACAACAAGCTGTACATACCGCGCCCTGAACATGCTCCCTGAGGTCGGGACGCCATCATCACCAACCTGGTGAAACAAATGCTCTGACTGCCAGCAGATAGGCAGAGTTCCAGGAACTGAATGTAGGCAAAAGACGACTAGAGCCACACTGATGGCAGTGGCGAGTCTGATTCTGGTCGCACGCCTTAAAGTCTATAGAGTCTATAGAGTCTATAGAGTCTATAGAGTCTATAGAGTCTATGAATGCCAAGTCAGTTATTTTTAAAAATGACGTAGTGCCTTGGCGGACGAGGCATCGGGCACAGAGGTTGTTCCCACCGAGGAGTGCTGAGGAGTTCACAAAGCCCGAAGGCAGACCAGGCATGAGCTCTGAGGATGCCAGGTACATCTTGGATACCTTCAACCAACAGTTCCATCAGTGGTCCATCTTCAACCATCAACCAACGACTCTCGCCTCAAAACTCTGCAAAACTCCCTGTCACACTGCTCTGAAGGCGGCTGAGCTTTGATACTTTTAAAGTGTGAGAATACCAGCCAGACTTCATCCAAGTAGATATCCTGTCATTGTCCTCACTTTTTTGAAGTCTGTTCCTGTCTGTCCAGTTCCATCAATTATGTGTTTGATCGTGTTTTTTTCCACGTTATATCATGTTATCCATACGTATTCTATCCATAGCTGGTAGTAGTTGGGTAGTTTATCTATATTTTATCATATTTTATCCATGGTTCCGGCTGGAACTTTGTCATTTCCTCGGCGTCGTTTCGTTCGGTGTCGGTGCACCTCGATCCCTCTGTAGACCGCGTTGGCATCGACATCCGACGAGCGCCGGGCACTCAGCAGGTCCAGAACCTGGAGCTCCGAGTGAGGAAAAGCTGGAGGAAGCTGAAAATAGCTGAAATGCTGAAAATAAAGATTAGGTGATTAGGTAAGTTGATTTTTGATGACTTTGGTGCATAAAAATTGCATAACAATTTCATAACATGTAACAAAAACAACTGAAACAATGCTGAAAGGAGTAAACAAAGCTGCATCGATCTCTGGGCAAAACTGCATTGCAACATTGCCTGTGGAGTGGTTGGGTCCAAAGCTTCAGAAACTCAAAAGGCGACTGCTGTAAAGACCAACTGGCCTCTTTGGGAGGGTTAGGTAGAAGCGCTGCATGTGGTTCCAGCCTGAGTTTGTCTGGGTATGTGCATTCGAGCAGCAGTTCCGCAGGCTGACATGGTTCACTTCAGGGAAAAAGTTGCACTGAAAACCAGTAGCAAAAATCAAAAGCTGCTCATAGCTGCTCATAGCTGCTCACCATTGCCCATAACTGCTATATCAGTCTCATCTAGTCTCATTTTCCGTGAGTACGCACAGGATTTCAGGATAGATCAGGTTTCAGGACTTAAGCATAAGCCTTGTCCTTCAGTTTCTGACCTCCCTGCAACTGGAAACGGAAACTGGCTGCGCGTGGCGCGAAACCCATTAAGGTGGCTGCCACAAGCTATTCAGCAGCGTCGCCAAGAACGCCTAGTCACTAGCCAGTTGGGATACGCGACCACTGATGCCCAGAACCAGGCAAGCTCATATTAGTCGGAGCTAAGTCCGATCCACTCCATGAAAATCCACCATATGTCATCATATATCATCATATCATGTCTCAAGGAATCTTGCAAAAGTCTTTCGGGTTTTGTGATAAAAATAAGCCTTCACCTTCCACACTCTGCCTTGGCTGTCAATCCGTCGCAGTTCTTCACCTTGGGCAACTGGTTTCAAATAGGAAAAAGTATCTGTGCGAAGCTCTGAACACAAGCCTCTGCTTGTGTTGTAGGGGTGTCTTTGCGAATGCTTGTGCAGGGTGAGCTCATGAGACCACTAGCGAACAGACTTTTTTCTCAACCAGTACACCAATGGACCCCTGACAAGCTGAAAACCCTGCTGATAATCATCATATGCAAATATGCAAATTCTGATGGATTCTCTCACTGCGTGATTTAGGACTGAAACCCGACCAAAGGATGCTCTTTTTGCGCTCCTTGAGAGCAGGGCATGGGAAGCAGCATTGGCAGTCCCATTTCTGTCGGCAGCTTCAATGACCTGAAAAAGACTCTGTTAATCTCTGGAGGGATTGTAGTCAACACAACTAGACGCAGCAAGAAATCTCTGCAGGGATCTACTGAAGTCTGGATTATTGGTAGCAACGAGGATGCAGTAAATCCGCCCACACCGCTTTGGCGGTGAAGGCGTGCTTATTGGGGGGAAACACCCACACTAAATGCTCAATCACATTTGTTAATATAGCAGTCGCTATATCAGCTTTAGCTGGGGGGGGGCCCAACGCACCGAGACCAGAATTAGGTGGTGTTTTCGACATTTTTCGAGGATTTTTGGGTGTCTGAGCGCAAGAGGGTATTGAAATTGAATTTTGGTCATTTTGGTAGCTTTCCGGCAATGGAAAAACGGCCAAAAATGAAAAAAACATTGTACATTGCAAGATTTTGCAGGGTTTTTGGATGCCAGAGCATTGAAAACACTGCAAAAACAAGTGTTTTGGACTGACGTTATAGCAAAAAACGTGTAAATTACCGTATGCTTGACTGGAAACATTACAAAAACACTGTCAAAAGCAATGTTTTGGAAGGATTTACTGCCTTTATGGCAAAAAACGTGTAAATTACCGTCTGTTTGACTGGAAACATTGGAAAAACACTGTCAAAAACAATGTTTTGGAAGGATTTCTTATATATATGTTGGAGTTGGCTACCGGCATTGGAACATGGAAAAATTGAAGAAAACACTGTAAATAGCGGTATTTTCAACGGTTGGGGAGATAAGGGAATTGGAAGCATTGTCGAACATGATGTTTTCGACCGGTTTTATGGCGACAAAAGTGTAAAGTACCGTGCTTTGAAGGAAACCATTGCAAAAACATGGAAACACATTCAAAGAACACGGGATTTGGGGGACTATCTAGGCGTCGTTGTCTAGCTATTTGAAATTCCGCAGCTTGGAGAGCCTCCAAGGGAGGGAAAAGTGAAAATTCCATAGCTTGGGAAGCTGTCACGGCGGGGAAAAGTGAAAACTCCCTAGCTTGGGAAGCCCCCACGGGGGGGAAAAGTGAAAATTCCCGAAGCTTCACGGGGGAAAAGTGAAAATTCCGTCGCTTGGGAAGCCCCCACGGGGGGGAAAAGCGAAAATTCCCTAGCTTGGGAAGCCTCCACGGCAAAGAAAAGTGAAAATTGCTTAGCTTGGGAAGCCCCAATTGGAAGCATTGTCGAACATGATGTTTTCGACCGGTTTTATGGCGACAAAAGTGTAAAGTACCGTGCTTTGAAGGAAACCATTGCAAAAACATGGAAACACATTCAAAGAACACGGGATTTGGGGGACTATCTAGGCGTCGTTGTCTAGCTATTTGAAATTCCGCAGCTTGGAGAGCCTCCAAGGGAGGGAAAAGTGAAAATTCCATAGCTTGGGAAGCTGTCACGGCGGGGAAAAGTGAAAATTCCCTAGCTTGGGAAGCCCCCACGGGGGGGAAAAGCGAAAATTCCCTAGCTCGGGAGGCAGGGGGGAAAAGTGAAAGAAGCACCCATTGGAAGGATCCCAGGGGGGGTGGAAATCGTGGCCCTGGACGGCCCGAAATAAACCTGCGGTGTGGGCGGCCACCCCACGCGAAGCGGGGTGAATATGGAGAGGTTACTCTCAAAGCACTGGTCATCAGAGCATACACCGGACTGCTGCAGCCTTCTCATCCTCTTCAGCTGACTCTTGTAGCACCTCGTCACAGATTTTAGACTGGGAATGCATGACTGAGGTGGACTGTTCAATACTCACGAAACTGCCAGGACCAGTTTGTCTTCGGGACAACACCACATGCTGCATGTTTGGTGCGAATCACACCTCTGAGAAAGCTTGCAAGAATGGAAGCGACAAAGGCTCGCCTAAGATCAACGGGCTTGGTAGCAAGCCCTACAGCATTGGAAATTCTACTTGGATATAATTTCTATGGGAAACATCATTCTCCCAAAAGATCCAAACAGTTTCAAATCTGCTCAGGTCATGAGGTGCCAACTGATACTCAGCATCTTTGGCTCGAGTTCAGCTTTCACATCAGGTTCCTTCGAAGATGATAAACGTTGACCTGTCCAAAACTGCCAAGTCGAGCTGTTTTCGCAGCAGCCTACGTAGGAAGATGTTCTATCTTGCGTGAACAACTACGTGGGACTGAATGTGAATGTGCATGTACGTTCCAGGTTCTGGGTCCCCTCCCCCCACCCATGGTCATGGTATCCCCCCAACCCCCCTGTGGATGTGGGTTGGCGTGGGAGGTGGTTGTCTATAAAGTGTGTTCATGGTATCCCCCCTCGCCCTGTGGTGTGGTTTGGGGTGGGAAGGGAGTTAAATATGCTGTATGGGGAATATATAATAGCTGGTGCATCCAAATCAGTGGCACATAGGTGCTATATGGTAGTATGTATGTAGTGTCTATCTATTTCTAAGTGTGTTATATATATATATAGGTAGTATATAGGCAGTGTGTAGGTAGTAAATATGTAGAGTCTATATATATATATAGTATTTTAGGTAGCAAGTATAGGTCGGTTGTGAAGCTTTGGTGGCCGAAGGATTCTCATCACATTGGATTGGAGTTTCATTGCATGGTCGCTGGATCTGAGTGCTACCTGTTATGTACAGCGAACGCTGTAGTAGCTACCTTTTTTTCATTTTGTCGGCCATTGCCATCTCTCGTTGTGCATGGGCCACTTGTTGATCAGGACAACATCTTGACTCCCTTCAAGGCTTTTTTCACCTTCCAAGAAGATTGTTTTCCCTTGCTCCGACCTGGTCAGAAGTGTCTAGCTAGTATATAGAATATGTAGGTACTATGCATACATATACATATATACACATACATGTACATATATCATTAGCATCAGGTATCTAGGTAGTGTATGTGATTGCCCCCTCCCCAGTGCTGAGGGTTGATGCAGCTTATCAGTCGTAGATGAGTAGGACAGAGGTAGTATATAGGCACGCTATGAGTGGTATATAGGTTGCATACAGGCATGAAATGTGTAATATATAGATAAATAACTAGTAGGATTACATATGAGCGGTTTATAGGTACGCTATTGATCGTTCCAAAGTGAGAAAGAAATACATAATTAGATGTAGATAGACAAAAGGTAGCATAGGTAGTACCGGGTATTTTGTAGGAAGTATACGTCTCTTAAATGCTGCAAATAGGTTGCAATTGGAAGGTTGTGGCTCTGAAACGCTACAAATAGAATGCAAATGAGAGGCCGTGACTCTGAAATGCTGCAAATAGCCTGCAAATGGGATATTTTGAGGGGATTTTATGTATAGACATATAGACTATTTTCAGACTATGTACAAACATAATCAACTATATATATATATGTATATACACATGTGGGCGAGCGTCAGGCCGGCGGGCCCCCAGCCTGCAGATTCTGCAGCCTCCGCGCGGAGGCGAAAGGCCGCTTCTGCAAGACGTCGCTGCTCGAAGGCAGCTTGGAAGGGCCTTGGAGATATGATGAAAGAAACGAAAGTGAAAGAAAGTGAAAGAAAGTGTGAAAGTTAAGGGGAACAGAAAGTGAAAGAAAGCAATGATGGAAGCGGAACAGATGGAAGGGGAAACAACGGAAGCAACGGTCGCAACAGCGACGAGTGATGAAAGCGGTTCTGAGAAAGTCTTGGATTTGCCTTGCTGGGATATAACAAATTACACTCCAGGAATTGCGGGGACTCATTCAATGCAAGCAAAGACATGCTGTATTTCGATTGTAGAGCTTGGTGAGCGAAGAACTGCCAGTGATGCTGTCCCTTAGTCACCAGCGCACAGTTTCTATGGCTCTTCCAGTCTGATTCCTGGCCAAAACTAAGGCTTCAGAGACGCGCCAGAAAGAGGTGGAGGCTTTGAGCGTCGTTTGAAATACATTGGACGTTCAAAACGAGAAATCTGGCAAACATGGTTGAGAAAATGCACAGGTCCTGCTCAGACGAGCTCTGTGGCTTGACCGCCGCCACCTAGCTGAAACATCTGAAACCCAGCTGTCTCGGGCTGTCTCGCCAGAGAATATGACTTGGTGATGTCCAAATATCTCACAATCAAATACAATCAAGGCAAAAGTTGAAATACGGGACTCCGACTGCAGATAGTAGAAGCAGAATCTCATGCAGGAGCGCCTGGGGCTCATACGATATCGGTTGATGTGGCACGAATACTGAAATCAAAAAAGAACTCCTGAGGTGTCCATTGCACCTGCAGCCTCATGGTAGTAGGGGACACCGATAGATTCCTTTGTACTCCACTCTCAGCCTTGGCAAGAAAGATGATTTCAAGCGCTGCCGGCACCACCACTGCATAATATGCATTGATGACCTGGATATTATGACTAGCCATTGACCTTTGGCAAAGGAACGAAACTGTTGTAGGGGTTGATTTCTGCAAGTGCATTTGTTGGCACAAATCTCAAGAAACTCTCGGGCTAAAGGCTTTCTGTCTGCTCATTGCTGAGAGTATTGGTTTCATGCAAGTGTCCATTTGTGGGCATTCTTGAGGCATCTTGAGACTGAAACTTGACCAACGACTGATGATATAGTGATTCATCAGTCGAATTATTCGAATTCATACATGTTCACCACCTCCCATAAGTGCTCGCCCACTGGCCTCACTGTCACCATGCAGAGAGGGCGATGTGCTGTTCACAGCGCCGAAGGTCCTTGATGACATGAGATACAGCAAGCAAAGAAGCAAAACATATAGTAATATATATTATATACACATATGCAAACACATGCAATGTGTATATATATAATTCATATAATGTATATATACATATACCTATATACGTATGTGTGTGTGTTCTCTATATGAAACTATATCAAACAAGCAAACAAGACAGTCTCCGGACTTATACCACAAGGAATAGGACAATCTTCTGTGCCGGCAATTATTGCACATTGGAACGCATGGGACTTCCGTGCACTTTCGTGCTTGGGCCGCTTGGGCCGTTTGGGCTGCTTGGGCCGCTTAGGCCAGGGCGAATACAACAAGAAATCGACGATCTCCCTGAAGACGCTTCGAAGCACACTGCCTGGAGCGCACGCTGCGCTTCACAGGTATCCAAGTGTCCCGCAAGTGTCCCACACTGCGGAACCTGGAGCTGTTCTCAGCTGTTCTGTTTTGCGCAAAATGTCTCGACATGTCAATATTGTTCAAAGGTCAGTTCAACTGACAGCATTCCAGTAATTACTCTGGAAAGCAAGAAATGAAACGGAGTCTTATTCTGTCTTGTATGCCTATTGTGCAAGATCTTTCCGGCTAGAAAGCTTCATGCAAAGACACGTGGGGTCTGCCACTTTGACTACTCAAGTCAAGTAGACTCGCAAGTTCTGTTTCCGACTCAATCAACCAACTTTCCAACCAAAGAAATTGCAATATCTTGGTGGTGCTGACTCCATCTGTTTCCTGTGAAATAACCTGTAGTGAAAATGTATCAACAATGCAACAACATGCAACAACCATGTAATAACAATGTAATGACCTTGGACTTTCTGAAGCTTTTTGTCTACTGAACACCACAACCTACTGGCCACCTCGAGCGTGCGGCACTGCACTGGGGCAAAGTACCACTTCCTGCTGTGCTCGCTTTAGTGACTGGGAGAATGGGTACGTCAAACAAACGATCGTTGTGCTATTTGGTGGGCTCATTTCAAAGACTTGAAGAGGCAGCGGGAGGCTGTGGCACCGCTCCTGCACATCCATTTCCTGAAGTCTTTCCACTGCCTTGCGAAGAGAGATTGAAGGAAGATTCCTTACTCCATCAAAATATATCTTCAGGAGATTTCAGGAGGAACGAATCGCACTCAAGTGAATCTTCCAACCTCTGCAACAGAGAAGTGCTCTCCGGTTGGCAACACTCGCATCCTGAGTAACAACGCCAGTGAAAACACACCGATTTCTTGGCGCATCTTGTTGTACCACTGGTCAAAAACAATGTGACTCTTACCTCCTTGTTAAGAAAACATCTTGGATCTTCTTGGATAGTTTCTGACCAACCAGATTGGTAAAACACAACATGTCTCTCACTGACTGAGTTTCGCACATACAGTTTTCATCCCGCAAAGCTGTTGCGTCCTGGCAGTAGAGGAATTTGAGTAATTTAATATATATATATAAGTGCTGTTGCAGCAATATTCTCACCAAAGCATATCTGAATCAATTCTGCACTTGCAGGAGTCCCTACCTATTTGGGCAGTTAAAAAACTTGCCTTGCAAGCTATGTTATCGTCACCTCAAGGATGGACTGCACCTCTCTGACAGGGGAGACTGATGATCAAGCTCTGCTGCAGATTCGCCATGCGTGTATCGATTTGTGCTACTTCTCAAGAAATCAACCGTTCTATTCCTATAATCACTACGAAATAAAGTATTGCAAGTTCTGCAGGTGGACTAATGACTTGCCAAACAATTTTTCAAAATCTGGCCCAACTTACCAAGATTACCAACCAAAAATCACGGAAGGCAAATGAAGGCAACATACTCTTAACATACTCTTCCACACCCTCTGATACTCGAAGCTCGGCCATTAGGGCATGTCCTCTGGACAAAGCGAGCAAAGTGGTTCGACAAACCTCAGTATCCAGGCAGCATATAACTCTCACACCAAGTATGTACCGTTACAACGAGCAACGGGCCAGATTCATCTGCGTTCAATTCATGTAAAACAAAAGAAACTCCCTGGAATCCTGCAAAGTGGCAGGTGGTCGCAGCACGTGGAATATGATGACATATGAATCTACACAGCACTGACATTATTTTCCGTTGAAAACGTTGAAAACCTCTTCGAGATATATTCTGGTTTCAAGATGCTTCCAAAGTACAATGAAGCAGTCGCCGCAGTTGCCTCTGTTGGTGGCCACTTCACCTGGGCTACTCAGCTACGCTTGCAGAAAAGGAACTCAGAGTGTGTTGTTGTCATCCGGGCCTGGGAATGCTTGCCGACATAGTTCACCATGATGTGTCCCTCCTTGTGCAAGAATCAGTTTTCACAGTTTTCAGAGAAGGGAACACATCTGGTGTCTCAACAGAACAAATGACACTACCGACAAAATTCATTGAACCATACATTTCATTCACTTTTCATTCACTCCCGCAAATCCAGATTCCTTAGGGAAGGGAGGACACCAGTAACACATGCACCTGGCACTTGGAGGTCTCAGTTTCCTCCTCATGAAGAGGCACCTGAAAACAAGCAGCGGCCCAACCAACTTCCAGACCACAATCCATGGCATGCATATCTCAGCCACGCCATGGCAGCCACCTGCTCAAGTTGGAAAAGAAGTTCGTGCCTGGGCAACAACACGAAATGCATAAGCAAAACATGCGAAATGGTCGGGTAGAATATGAATTTTCATTACATGTGTATGCAGGATACACATGAATGTATATGATGTATGTGTATACGTTAATTAATTAACTAATTAATTAATTAACTAACTAATTAATATATATATATATAAATGTATATATATACATATATATATATATATTTTTTTTCCCCAGATAGCCGGAAACTATAAGGGTTCTTGTTTCGCAAAGGTCAAGCCTTCGGTGGCAAGTTTTTCAGCCTCCTGCTCTCTTAGGGTGTTATGCAGGCAGCTGTTCACAGTGCGGTGGCGAAGTCTGGCAAAAGTGCCATCAGTTCCTCGAGCTGGGAGCCCGTGGTTCCAAGATTGGGAAGCATTGGTTCCAACCTTTGGGAACCGCAATGTGTTTGTGCAGAACCATTGCATACTAGACCGACATGAACACATGTTGTGTGAAAGTAATCGCTTTGTTCTGCTTAAGGGTCCGGAATGAAAAATGCGCGTGTGTGTGTGTGCGCAAAGCTTGTGCGCAAAACAGTTGTTTTGTGATCGACATGAAAAAAATGTACTGTAAAAGGCGTCGCTTTGTTTTGCCTAATGGGCCGGCAAAAAATAGAAATCTGGTGTAAAAATAACCGCTTCGTTTTACGTAATGCGTTTGTGTTTCGAAGAACTGCGGGTTCCCATTTCGAGGAGCTGCGGGTTGCACAGAGTTGGAACCCATGGTTCCCAACCTTGGAACCATGGGTTCCCATCCCCGAGAATTGCGGGTCTGGAAAGGTTGGAATTAATTCGTGCGGTTTACAAGTAGTACCCGGACAATCCGGGGGCGGAAGTTTCAAATTTGAAAGGCTTATAGCCTATAGGGCGGAACAAAGACTGTGCCTATAGGTGGCCGTGACAAGAGGTCCCGTGAGTAGCAGGCAAGGGACTTGTCTTTGGTTGCATGATGTCCCAGCATTGCACGGCTGGTGTCATCGATCCCATACCTGGCACACCACACCAGCGTGGTAGCTTTCAAGCTGTGGGAGCTTGTTGCCTCTTTGGTGTCGGCGACGCCCAGGAAGTCGCTGAGCATTGATGAAGCCTCAGCAGACGTCAGCGGCCGCTTGGTGAAGCCGCCCTCAGATGTAGGGGCCCGGCACACGGCTCCATAGGGCTCAGGGTCACGGAGCATGCCTAGTTCCTCCAGGACTGATCTCCATGCCAGTGCCCACGGTTTTTCGCCCACACGCGACAAAAGGGAGATACAGCGCCTTCTTCTCTGCCGTATTCGAGGTCTGTTCTGTCTTCAACGAAGCCAAATGGGCCGCTGTCCGTCTCCATGACATCGAATCCAAAGCTCTGCATAGAAGAGAGGTCGGACGACCACCTTGCTCTAGAGAACAAGGCAAAGAGCAAGCAACCAGCGAAGTACTTGTCCAAGAGGCAGCGTGATGTATGCACCATCGCTTCTAGTTGTAGCGCTTCCTGCACAGTTAGCGCTCGAGCTTGTTGAGTAGGTTCCCGTGTTGCAAGGATCCTCATCACTCTACCTTGAATCATTGGTCCCAGCATCGATCTCCTCTACTTCAATGTTGCCTCCCATGACAAACTTGAAGAACTTAATGGCGTGTACTAAGTTCTTCCCAATGAACTTGCTCCTGCCCTCTGCTTCGCATGAGCTGAGGAAATCCAACAGGTCCTTCTCAGCGATCGGCCACCACTGCTTGTCCTTGCTTGTGCACCAGCTGATAAACTGCTGCAAGTCGCGGGCCCTCTTCAACACAGTGCTTGGGGACCTAACCCCAGTCTGAAAGTTTTGCCACAGCATACTTTCCTACATTGGATTCAAACCTGCTGCTTTCAAGTATGGTGAGCCAACAGGCTAGGGCTCGCGCCCACTTCAAATCCAGGGCCTGCTTGTAATCAGTGTCACACAAGGCCTTCACATGCTTGGCGAACTTCGGGATGCCATAACTGGCTGCAGCGGCAGAAGTCTCTGACGCTTGGTCCATAGTCGTCGGGGTCTTAAAGACCGGGAAAGCAGGCATAGGCGTGTAGTCACTCTCCACCGGCAAACCAAAAGGGTCTGCTGTCCCAAAGATCTGAGCAAACACTCCTTCTTCCCATGGCAGCTTTGGCAGTCCCGCGCCAATGCCCATCATACTGTTGTGAAAGAAGAGGCGGTTCATCCTGTCAGTACTCATGTTTTCAAACTGGTCAGCCAAGGTTCGGGGGCGCCCCACGGGTTCCCAGTAGTCTTCATCAAAACGGTCATCATGGAGACCGCTCTGTTCACTTCCAGTGCCGTCACTCATCCCTACTGGCCACCCAAGCAGATCGCCATCGTATGGGCTCTGCTGAGGTCTCGGCATAGCAACGCTGGAGGCCTCTTTGTCCGCAGCGTTTTCAGCTCCATCTACTCCCACATTGGCTTGGGATATTCCATCAATGGGAAAGTCCATGGCACACCCCCCTGCCGATATTCAGCCAACTGAAAACGGTGACCCACCCTCCACTCCCTTGACAGGAACTGCAGGTGACTGAACAAGTTTCTCAACTGACGTTCGAATGAATGCAAGCTCCATGACATGCAAAACAAGGAAGCTTCAAGAAAATAAATAGTTCGTTTGGCTACGCCAACTGCCTACAATATATATATATGACACATGTTCCGAATTGTTGCTGCAAACGCAGCTAGTTGCATGGCACCCTGATGACAGATCGACCATCTCTTTTCCCAATTATAATGCACATACCAACTTCATAAATTTCTTTTATAATGAAAGTTACGTGCTTCGACATAGCTACCGAGTGCAGCCTGCTTCTGTCTCCCACCCTCTACCGTAGAGGAAATTGATGGAAATTGAGGGCTGCACGCAGGGAAACATTCGGCAAACTGCTTCAGGAGACAGCGACAGAGAAGCGACAAGCTTAAAACCTGTGGCCAGCTGATCTGCAACCGAAAGATGTCCAAAAGATTTCCAAAAGATCGTTTTGCTAAAAATGCTCTACCGCACTTGCCGCCCTTTACCGCCCTTTACCTTACCACCCTTGCGCTCTCAGGGTCAGTTGCACTCATGACGAAGGCACCGCAGAAAAGCTGCAAGGCTTGGCATCGCTTGGAGAGGTACGAAAGTAGTGCAGAAGCCGCGCCTTGGCAAACGCCGACAACGCCGACCAGTAGAGAGAAGTAGAAATCAATGCGGGCTAGGTCTTGACAGTGCTAAAGGGCACTCACTCAACCTCTACCATTACCATAAACATGCATTAAATGTTGCTGTCTATCACGGAAGTTGCTTCACAATTTAATTTGTGCCGAATGTATTCCGTAAGTCCGTCTGGGTTCCCTGCCCAAAATCGAAGAAACGTTCGGAAATTGGCGCTGTGCTCGTTGGTTGCAACCTGTGGACAAGGCTACTAAGTGCAGTGAAGCAAAACTAAATTGTCTGAGGCATCCACCAGCTGAAGAAAGTAAGCATCTCTCCTGAGACATCTGAGACTCAAACCGTCGCACAGTTCATAAACATTCAGGAACAAGTGTCGAAGTTCCATGAAGTTCCTGGTCCCTCCTTGTTTTTCAGTGGGCCAGTCAAAAAATCTCGTTTACTTGGGTCCCAACACCAGAGCATCCAGAACTGTAGGTTCTGAATAGTGCGCTTCAAAGAATCCAGGCTTCATCATGCCTCCATCAGCAGCAGTCAGAGATTCAGAGATCTCCAACAGGAGATTGGATAACCAGGGACCTCTGCAGTCCTCTACAATACGAACTATCAAGCCTGGAAGCTGAACCTTCAGCAGCTCGAACCTGGGCACTGGCGGTGCACAGGCACAGTATCGAGATGGTTTGTTGGTGATTGGAATCATTACTTGGAATACTTGGAATAATGGACATGGTTGGAATGAGAAAGACTTCCTCACAGGAGGGAAAGTCTGAAGTAAGCTTCCTTGGCAGTAGGGGTCAGCAGTAGAGACCTCTCATTTCTCATTATCTTGCATAGATGTATTCTGCAGCCCATGCTAAAGCGAAAGCAGAGCATCTATGAGAATCTGATAGAATCTGGAAGTCCAACCATGTGGCCAGTTTTCTTTCACGACTTCAATGTTACAAAGATTCTTTTCCGCATCTATGTCTGTGCGTCTGATTACCCACTCAGTCCTACTAGTCTATCCCTGAGCCGACATTACTCAACTGTGTTTCGTGCTATGATATGACCATCGCCTCCCTTTTTTCTGTCTTTACACGTCTTTACAAAAATCCATGTGACAATTCTGGGTATTCTCAAGCGTAAGGTCAAAAGTGAGTGAGTGAGTGAGTGAGTGAGTGAGTGAGTGAGCGAGTGAGTGAGTGAGTGAGTG